ATGCCTTCAGCCAAACGCCTTCAGCCAAACGCCTTCAGCCAAACGCCTTCAGCCAAACGCCTTCAGCCAAACGCCTTCAGCCAAACGCCTTCAGCCAAACGCCTTCAGCCAAACGCACGCCTTCAGCCAAACCTTCCAAACGCCTTCAGCCAAACGCCTTCAGCCAAACGCCTTCAGCCAAACGCCTAGCAAAGCCTTCAGCCAAACGCCTTCAGCCAAACGCCTTCAGCCAAACGCCTTCAGCCAAACGCCTTCAGCCAAACGCCTTCAGCCAAACGCCTTCAGCCAAACGCCTTCAGCCAAACGCCTTCAGCCAAACGCCTTCAGCCAAACGACAATACCAATTTTATTGGAAAAAATTTCCTGAAACCGAAAAAGTTGGTCCCCGGTGTACCAGAGAAGCAAAATTCTTGAGGAAAATGACCTCAAAATTCATGATTTTTAAAAGGTTTTTTCGAATTTCTAGCACACCATTCCAGCTTCTAATGCCCAATTACGCCGCATCGAAAAGTGCCTTGTGGCCTGGTGGTTAGTATCAGTGTCCTATGCTTTTTTTTCCTCCCTGGTTCGATACCATTCACGGCCAAACTTTTTTGTTATTTTGTAAAATGATTAAAAACTATTTTCAATACCTGAAAGTATATTTGTCCATAGAAGTCAAAAAATAATTCGAAAAGTTTCAAATATTTCTAATCTGACTTAGTTTTCGAATTTCTGGTAAAATAAGATTCTTTTTTGTCTTATATTCTGAAAATATGATAGACTTTTCATCATCTTTACCAGAGTTAACATTTTTTAAAGAAATCAGACTTGAAAGTATTATTATAAATGGTAGTAAGTGTTCAAGGTGATTGTAAGAGCCGGGAAATCATAGTCAGCAAGAATCTTTCACAATCGATGCACATACTCGGGCACCAAAAACTAAAAAAACAGTCTCTTATTGAATTATTTATTGGAAAAATGATAGAATATTCTTTGTGCAATTTAGAGATACTGTTGAAAGTTCTTAAAGATAATCATTGTACCATTTAATGATAGATAGTAAGCAGTTCAAAGCTACTTCTTCAACTATTGCCCACAACAAATCAGTGTTTCAAATAAACCATTCTTCATAAACAAGCTTAAACCATTGCAAACACTGTGCAAATTTACGTGTTCAGGTGTTTAGAGGAGGCTGGGGACACAGCAATGGATTGGAAGGCCCACAGGGAGAATAGGGGAAGCGAGAGATGTGCACCGCAAATATTTGAGCAAATTACCAGAGAGGAGATGGATGGAAGGGGAAACAAAGAGATCAGAGAAGAGGAAAGAGAAAGGACTACCTGGTTGTGGATGGGAGAAGGGAGAGCTTTGTCTACCCCTTCAGCCTAGAGCTGCCTTGTATCGGCTGGTTTGTACGTCGTCCTTATCCATTTCCATCTTTGGTTTGTGAAGCTGAAATCCGATCTACGACAATCTTTTCGTCTTTCTTTTCTTCTTTCGTATGTTGCCATTGTTTTTCATCAATATTTACTGAAGATTACTTTACAATGAAGAAAACTTAAGGCTAACAACAAGTTAATAAAAGAATTTTTTATTATTTTATCTGTCTGCAACTTTCAGACTTTAAAATTATCGCTTTTGGGTGTATTTTGTTGTAACAAGTACTTTGTTTTGTTTTCTTTAAATCTCGCAATTTTCTAAGCGTATTTTGTGCTTGGAAATTGAAAACACATAGTTATTGGCTTCATTTTTATAGTCAAAATCATTGCAAAAGTAATCTCAAGTGTGTCAAAAAGTGAATGTTTTCAATTTTAAATTTGAGATTCAATTTTTATTCTCGTAAATCTAAACTATTTATATACATGAATTGATGAATTGCTTTGCTGAATTGATGAATTGCTTCATACGTTTTTCTTCGTCTAAACCAGTGTCATCACTGCAAAAACGATTCGATCAAACGGATCCCATAAGCCTTATGGGTGTTCAGGAAAAAAAAAGGAGAAGAAGAAAGAAAAGCTATTCGAATAGAATGAAAGATCTCAAGGATTTGTGTTCCATCAAAGCATTGTTTGACAGAGAAACGAGATCGACGAGTGATATTTCCAAGGCCATTTGAATGGATGACACACTTCCCTCTTTGCCTCTTTTGTAAACGAGATGGGATTCCCGTTGGCTCAATCTTCACAAATCTCAGCAGCTCCCGAAATCTGCAAAAGATCGCTCCTATTCGAGGTGAGAACAAATTTTCGCTCATCATTTTATTTCTCTCATTTTCTTTTCAACGTTCTCATTGTTTGATTGATTAGATGAATTTTTTAAGATGCTACAATTGTAGGTTAATTTTAAGAGTCAATTGTAAGAAAAATTCAGTACTTAACTACTTAGCTAAACTTTTAAACTATTGTCGGAAATCTTGCTTTTCAACAGCTTTGAGATTTTATGATTTAAAGCTCACAGTACTCCAAAAAACTCTTGCCTCAATCTAAACAAAAATCTCAAAAACCTCCGCATATTGTAGTTGTTTCAAATAGCGTATCGAGGTGTCAAAAGGGATCTCGAAAAGGGAAAGCGATCCGGCTTAGAGTCCAAATAAGGAAAAAGAAAGACCTTTCTGTATAAAGAAGCTTTAGACAAAGCGGAGGCAAAAGGAAAGACACTAAAGGGGAAAAGCCAATAAAGAGAAGACGGTATTGACGAGTCTCCTTTCACTCATCGAATTCTTCTTTCGGTTCCAATTACAGTCCTTCATTTCTGAATACTTTCCGACCATTCTACTACATATTGTTTCTATATAAATGGTAAAATTTTTCTATAATCGGTCTTTAAGATCATAAATTTTAAATAGATATGTTCTTTGAAGTACAGTTTTTTGCTTAAAAATGTAATCACTCTTTTTAGTGCACTTAATTCCTTATTATATAAAAGGTCAAGAGTTCAGTGCGCTAGAAAGGAGGTGTTTCTATTTTTAAGCACAAAGTACAGCTGAAAACACAATCCTTCAAGAGTTTAACGGTGAGATTTGGCAATGGTTTCAATGTTTGCCGATTTGACTTTTTTTCAAAAGATGAAAGGGGATTGTGATCAGCTGTGTGTGAAAAGCACAGAATGGATCAGTGAATGGATCGCCTTTTGCAAATGTAAACCGCTTTTTGTGGGGAATCGAATGGGGGTTTTAAAAGTATTGTCCCCATTTCTCTGTGCTTTTCCCATTTTTCCCTATTTTCCACTACGAAATCTACAATATCGAAAGAATTTAAAGGTTTATAAGCAATAAATTGTAATCAAGAATTACTTTACTCTAAAGTTATTTAGTTATTTAGTTTAGTTTAGTAATTTGTAGTAACAAGTAAGAGTTTTATAATCAATAATCTACTTTCAATCATTTAAACTCTTTTTCTAAAGCCGATACCAATATTTAAACGATTTTGGAATAATCAAATCAAGAATGCAACAAAAAAACCTTTCTAATTTTCTTTAAACCTTTAAAATTTTGAAGTTTCTCCTACGAATTGAGAGATTTTTGCCAAAAACGATTCGCGATAACGAAAAAGAGAGTGATGCCAATGAAAACTAGTGAAAAAAAGCTGAAATTGATTCAGAATTCAGAACATTCACTCCTCTCTCCCATTTTGTTGTTTTTTTTCAATCAAAATAAGACTATTTATTTGCTTTACAATCAATTTACCTCTTTAAACTTTAAAAAAACTTATAAAGTAATGATTTGAATCAGCCAGCCTTTGGCCTTTGACAACCAGCCTTTGACACAGCTTAACTTACCTATCCATTCTTAAGTGAAGAAAAATAGATAGCTATATTCGAAGGACATTTTCTTCGAAACACTAAGTGGCCTCATCCCGAAAAACTTGCCCCCGAAACTCATAAAGTCATCCATTTCTCCGCAAAAACATGGCCACCCATTTTTTTTTTCTCATTTTCCCTGTTTCAAGCTGACATCCTCCCCTTTCTCCTTCATTTTTTTTTACAGATATTTGTTTGCCTTTCTCATTGCTTACCTCCAGAATGCCTACACATTTTTGCTGACACTTTGAGAAAATCACTCCCATTTCGAATCGAATGATTAACATCAGTTTTCGTATAATTATTGTAGATTCTAAATCAGTAACGAAATTCTGTTGTTTCCTAAGAACTCATTTTTCAATAGATCTTAAGTTTAACATAAGACTTTCCTTTTTTTAAAGCTTAAAATTGTTTGAAAATTAGTTTAGAAAGGAATTAGTGAGAAAAACAAATAAAGCGGGGCACTTTTAGGCAACTGGAAGTGTGTAGAAGAAAAATCGGGGATGATTTGAGGGGATCCTTTTGTTGTTTTTGAGGGAATGGGTGTGTGAATTTGCTCTTAAAATCTCTTAAAATCCCTTCTTTTGTTAAGAATTTTAACACTTTGAATTGTTCAATCGATCATTGATTCGATTTCTTTACAACTTTCAAACCATTATTTTCAATCTAGATCCTTTATCTTAGTTCAACTTTGTAGTTTTGTGCTCAAAAATGTAAACACAATCTTTCTAGTGCACTGAATTCTTTTGTTTCCTCGTGATGACTAGTTGCTTTGAGAAAACTGAAGGATTAAGTGCAGGAGAGAAAATTCGTTTGCAATTTTAGAGTACAAAATCTATAAAGATTAAAGCGGAGTGTTAAATAAGATACAAAATGAATAGAGAAGTTACTCTTTAATATAAAAATATTCTTTAATTTAATAGTTTTCATTGTTCTATCGATTTGATTTCTTTATAACTCTCAAATATTAGTTTTTAAGCACAAAGTCTATCAGAATTAAGGCGGAGTGTCAAATAAGATACAAAATGAATTGAGAAGTGACTTTTTCCTATAAAACTGTTACCTTTTTATTATATTTTTTTAATTGTTTTAGATGATTGAGTGACGAACGAGCGAAAGAACGAAGAATTTTCAAGCGAACAAGCCGAAAAATGATGGATTCTCGTTATTCAAAAGGGAACAATAATGAAAAAGACACAAATGGGAATGAGATTTCATCGATGAGATCAACAGAAAGACCGTTGAGAATAAGTGGAGATGGGAAGAAAGAAACGATTCTCAAAAAGGCACCATTTGAGGGATTTCTCCAAGCCGCTTTCTCAACACTTATCGTTGGTTTTTCGGAGTTTAAAAAATACGAAAACTATTCGGTTCCAATACGGTTCTTTTTAGATCCAACACGGTTCCAATACGGTTTCAATCAGCTCTTTTTAGATCCAATACGGTTCTTTTTAGATCCAATACGGTTCCAACACGGTTCCAATACGGTTCCAATACGGTTCTTTTTAGATCCAACACGGTTCCAATCCAATTTTCTTGATATTGCAATTATATTGTAAAATCAATTAAAGAAAATCATTGTTTTTGTCTATAAAATATGAAATCTTCTCAAAAATCTCACATTTCTACATGTTTTTGCGAAAATTTCCTATAAATTTTCAGAAAAATTTCAATATCTTTCTTTGCAATTCATTCCCATTTTTACTATGAAAGTTTTCTTGTTTTCTATTTCTTTCATCGATGATTTATTCAAGAAAAATAAAGGGAAACTTTTTATGATTCAAACAGGAAATATTTATCATTTGATTTTATAAAAATTTACCAATTTCTCTAGGTTTTCGAAGCCTTACTTTGTTCTATGGATCTTTTTGAATCCTTTCTTTTCACCCTCTTTTTCTAGATGACCTCTAAATCTTATTGTTCTGATCGTAAAACGAATTAGTCGTCAAGAAAGACACGGGATGGATCTGTAGATAAGAGGATCCTGAAAATCCGCACAAAGAAAGATCGTTGGGTAATCACTCCCCAAATATCCTTTACGATCGATCATATCAATTTTCTGCCACCACAAAAATCCTGTTCTTGAGTCATATAATCAAATTTTTACACCTTAGAAAGATTTTAGCTTAAGGGCTTACAGTCCAATCAAATGACCGATGGGTGTCTCTATTTGTCTCCTTTGTAAACACAATCTTTCTGGTGCACTGAATTCTTTTGTTTCCTCGTGATGACTAGTTGCTTTGAGAAAGCTGAAGGATTAAGTGCAGGAGAGAAAATTCGTTTGCAATTTTAGAGTACAAAATCTATAACGATTAAGGCGGAGTGTTAAATAAAATAAAATAAACTAAATACAAGTAAACTCCCAACCATATATCTTTTCAATATAGTTCTAATCTTTATTAGTTATCTTCCCTTAATAGTATGTAGTCTTTACTGCGTAACTAAGTTCCGGTAAATTTATATATTATTGTACTTACTACTGGGGCACACTTTAGATTGGCTGTCCAAGTTTGCAGGGAGAAACCTTTATATCAACAATCTTTACATACCCCACAGAAATCTCTTTTAAATTTCACCGTTTTCATATCTGGTTCAAGAGTGACCGAAGGCTTATGAAAAGCTGAAGAGGGTTCTTTTCGAGAAGCGAAAAAAAAGAAGTCAAAGATTCTTCAGGTAGCACACAGTCCAATCAAATGACCGATGGGTGTCTCTATTTGTCTCCTTCTTCTCCTTCTTCTTCTTCTTCTCCTCCTTCTCCTCCTTCTTCTCCTTCTTCTTCCTCTTCCTCTCTTTCTTCTTCTTCTTCTCCTTCTTCTGTCTCAAATGAATGTCTTTTCCTTTCTTCGCACTGATGCACCTCTCTCTGCTCAGCTGTGCTGATCGTGCTATTCCCTGTCTTTTCTCTTTTCTGATCCCTTCTGAAAATCAATCACTTCTCCATCTTTCTGGTGACAAATTTGCATATTAGCTTCTTCTCATGTACCCCTTTTATTAGGGTGTTTCTTCTAAACAACACTTATTTTAAAACAAAGTCCAATTTAATCAAATTGAATTGAATTTAATCAAATCAAAATCAATTAATTTAATCAAATTGAATTTAATGTAATCAAAAGGCCAATTTTCATTCTAACAGCCCAATTTTGTATCATCTTTATCGTCGATACCAAATTTACAATAATTTTTAAAAATTTATAAATCAGATACTATTCTGCTTAAATAAATCCCCTCACGAAAGTTACTAATCAATTTTTTTTGCACCTTTGAAGTACCCCTTCGAGTGACCAAGAATGAATGAATGCATTGAAAGGTTATATTTTTGCAGAAGTACTTGATTCTCTTAAGGACATCGACTTTTGTACATCAATTCTCTTTCTTTTACCCCTTTTCCTTTTTTTTCATTCCCGTACGATGACTAAACACCAAAACACCTCGAGATTTGCATTGATTTTTGCTCTTTTCCTTTTGTATCATTTTGAGATTAGGAACGATTATGATACTTTCTTAAGATTGTATTTTTTTTGATATCTTAGATAGCTTATCTAGATAGATAGCTTAGCTTATCTAGATAGATAGCTTAGCTTATCTAGATAGATAGCTTAGCTTATCTTAGATAGATAGCTTAGCTTATCTAGATAGATAGCTTAGCTTATCTTAGATAGCTTATCTAAGTTTAAAGTCCTTTTATTAATAACCCTTTAATGAATTTTAAAATTCGAAAATTTTAGGCAGTGGTCCTTGCTTGGCGACTTTTTGTATTCCCACAACAAACCAAAATAAAAACTGAAATAGAAGAAGGAAAAGAAGAAAAAGAAGAGGAGAAAGAGAACGAAGAAGATCCACCATCAACATCTACACAATATTTCACATCAAGGGTTAGTTTTTAAAAGAAATTAAAGGGTAAAATCTGTTTACCTTTTCAAATTTGCCCCTGCATCTGAATTTTCAAAAATGCAAAGAAATTTGCAGCTTAACAGGAGTATAACAGGCTTGATGCAGGCTTAGAAACGAAATCTTACAGAATCTTTCTAACAATGAGAACAAATCGTTACTTATTTCAATCCCTTACCACCTTTTTCACTCTTTCTTTGCCTGAAAAGCTTTATGAGGTCAGGGATAAACCATTCACGAAAGCCAACAATTGAAACTCCACATGATTTGACCCAATCACTTATTCAAGGTCAAAATTTGCATGATTCTTATGGTGGTCAAAGTTGGCCGATCAATCAAACGAAGATTTACAATTGTTTTATTTTCAACTTCAACTTAAACCCTTTACCCATAGAATAAGCTTTTCAATAGAAGATGGTTTCACTTACGCGCAATTGCCTCTCCTTCTTCCTTTCTCCATTTCTCTTTTACATTCCATACTTGGATTCTTTTCCACTCATTTTTTTTTTCTGTTCTTCTTCTAAATATGACCTTCATGACAGACAGACTTTCATCGACTTTTGAGTCAGTTTTTCTCTTTTTCTTGTAAGTTTTTCTCTTTTTCCATCATAGCTTTTTATGGATTTGTTTACATTGAGACGTTTTCCTTGAGAAGTGTCATAAGATTTTCGAACAATCTCACAGATCATCACTGCGCAAACATTTTTACGTTCTCTGTTTACAAAAAGCTCAAAAAGTTAACTTTCTTACTAGATTTTAAGTTCAACGCTTCACTTTTGAACTCTTGACCGTTTTCTTTCGATTTATGAGCATATTTGCGAGTGAGTTACTTGCATTCATTTAAAGCTTCAACCTAAAACATCTCAATTGTTGCTATTAGATTGGTAACTTAAAAGTTGATACACTTATTCATTGCACTTTTTAGAAATAACTAGTGCACCAATTAATCTACAGTTTTTACCAATAAAAAAGGCGCATTTATTCTCTAAAACATGCTTTTGATAGATTTAGAAAATCTTCAGTTTTGTAGGTTTCTAGGGGGCAAGAAGTTGAGAACCCAAAAATGATGGACACTCGATGAAGTGACTTGAGCACTTTCTTCCACAGAAACCAATAAGTGTCAATAAAAGTGTCAAAAAAAAAAAGAAAGAGCATAAAAAGTTAAATAAATAGTCTCAGCTAGAGCTAAATAGTTTCAGCTAGAGCTATAAGCTAGATTCCAGCTAGATTTTCGTTTCTTTTATAGTTCCATTTGAAGAATTTCCAAAAAAAACTTGAATTTCTGTGCAAATTTCTTTCAAAAGTAACCCAAATTTACTTAAGGATGTCTGAAATTTAATAATATAGATTGATATATAAGCTTTTGATAGATTTAGCTTCAGTGTTTTGTAGGTTTCTAGGGGGCAAGAAGTTGAGAACCCAAAAATGATGGACACTCGATGAAGTGACTTGAGCATTTTCTTCCACACAAACCTATTTTGGTGTAAATAGAAAAAAGATAGAGCACAAAAAGTTAGGTATATAGCCAAATTTTGAGCCAAATATAATCAATCGTTTTTGTTATAGTTTCATTTGAAGAAGTTACAGAAGAAAAGCATGAATTTCTGCTCAAATGAAGCGATGAAGCGATTTGAGCATTTTCTTTATTACATTATATCTATTTAGATGCTAAATAGATTAAAACATTTAAAAAGATTTATTGAATTGTACAGATAATTGAGATTATTAAATAAAATAATATGTAACTTTTATTTAGAGAAGTCTAATTCAATTGGCGTATTAAATATTTTTTTGGATGGTAAATATGAAAAAGTGTATCAACTTTCAAATTGTGAATCTTATCTTTGACTGATTGAGCTAAAGCTTGTCTGCTGTTAAATTCAGCAGATCCCATTGAAAACTTATTAATTTACTCTAACCTTTACTTTTCCACGTCAGTGAATAAGATGCTAAAACTTGTTGGATTTAGTTATCGGCAGTTATCGAGTCGTGATCGGCAGTTATCGCATAGTTATCGGCAGTTATCGCATAGTTATCGGCAGTTATCGAGTAGTTATCGGCAGTTATCGCATAGTTATTGGCAGTTATCGAGTAGTGATCGCCATTTGCACAACTCTTTTAAATTAGTCTAGCTTGGATCGTAAACAACTTGGTAACTGAAATGACACAAGATTACAAACCGCGAAAAAGTAAAGCCTTACAAAAACCTTATTGCGATTAGGATCTTTCTCTCCAACAAATAGTGTCCCGATTCCCAAGTAATTCATCTTAAAGTGACATTACTTGACTGAAAACTTTCAAGGACATTTAAGCAAAGGGTAATTCGATAAAAAAATTCATAAACAACTGCAGAAGTATTGATATTTTCTTTTTATCATTGTTGATTTGAGTCTTTGACTTATTAAAGAACTTTTACATTAACTAAATCTATTTTAGATGGATCCTCAGGTGCCTGGTCCATCGTCACTTCTCTCAATGCTTTCGACAGACTCAATGCCACCATCATCATCGAGTAGTGATGGAGAGGTAAAGATTTACAAAGATTAAAGTCAAATCTTATAACTATACTTATAAACACTATGAATTTGAATATGTAAAACAAAGGGAATTACAGGAACGTCCTGCACCACCTGTGCCATCACTCGTGCAAGCCAATATGGCGCAAGGAGGCGGCTATTTAGATGCGATCATTGAAGTGAGATATTTAAAAGCATTGTTCAGTCATTTTTATTTCATATACAATTTTTAGTAATCGTTGATCTTCTTTTTATATGCTGATCTTGATCGTTGAACTTTCTTTTCCTTTATTTCCTTTTATTCAAAGATTCAACAATACCAAAATGCCAATATTTCGACTGTTTCAGTCAAAAACTTATTCTTTTACGTTTAGAAATCTTAGCTTAAACAATTTCTCTCTAAAATTCAGCTAATTGACTTCTTCTTCTTTATTAAATTAAACACTTTCCTCTAAATCTTTTTCCATCACCTAGCAATTATCTCGATTTCAATATTCCAAGCAGAAAAGGAAACAAATCTTGCCCATAATGATTCATGAATTCCTATTTGAGAGTTTATCCCTTCCATTTCTCTCTTTCACATACACAAATTCACTCAAATATCCAGATTTACCTTGTTTCCCCACACTCTGTTCATCCCCAACAATTACTCAATTTTTCATTGAAGATAAAAGCTATAGCTTTTTATAGATAAAGACAACAAAATATAGGCTTTAAATTTATTTATAGATAGTTTGCTGTAATCTTACACTAACTCTTGGAGCTCCTATTCTTAAACCATAAAGCCATTCCATTTCCATAGCATCAAACGCAAAGTACGAAGCTGATCTCTTGCTATCGTTTTGCACAACTCTTTTTGTTAAAAAGCTGGCTGCTTGTTAAGCAAATTAGCAAGTGGGACTCTCAAATTTCCCTGTCATTTCCCTGTCACAAGAGAGCTCTCTCTGAATTGACAGAGGTGCCCTGTTGTGTGATTGTCGTCCTTGTAGAGGACTGCCATTCTTCTCTTTTCTTTCCCAATCTATTTGTATTGTCCTTTTCATTCACAGGCCTTGTCAAGCATTTCAAGACCCAATGATTGTGTGCTGATTTTGATTGTCACCTTTTTTTAAACATATTCATATTGATTTTACATAACAAAAGCTTTACTCTTGATCTTTATGCCATTTTAAATCTTTAATAATCTAAACAGTTTATTTTTTAACCAATAGAACGTTAGTTGAGTGAGTTTTCAATAATAAATCTATTTCTTGTCCATTCAACTATTCCAGAGTCTAGAATCTGGCTTGGTGAGTCAGAACTGAGTAGCTATGAGTAGCTATGAGTAGCTACTATGAGTAGCTTTGCCCAGAAGCTTTAGATTAACCTCTGCTAGAAAACTTGCTCGCGTTAAAGATTAAACCAAATCAGAATCCTTTTTGCTCTATTCATCAACAAAAAGTCACCAAATTCCCAACGCAAATCGATAATTTTCTTCTCGGGTTGGTTAATCTGTTCAATGAATATTCCCATTGCTCATTATCCCTCTGAACCCATCTCTACCTTTCTAAGGGAATAGTCAGCCAGTCTCCCCTCCATTCCCTTCTCTCTCCTAAGGGATGACCCCGCCTTGACCTCAACCAAATAATGCGTTCCCTCTCTTTCAACGCTTCTCTTTTTCCTTTCACCTCTCCAAAAAAAGAACAACGATAGGTAAGTAAAGAGAAATGGTTTGCCTGTTCTCCTTTTCTCTCTTCAACCACCAAAAACAAAGAGAAATCGCTCAATATAGTATTCGTTTATATGTTTTTTTTTCCATTTAAACTTTGTCACTCATTTTCAGATTTCAAGCGTTGATTCCTTTTGCAAATCTCATATTTTACTTTACTTCATTACCTTTTTACAATGCTTAAAACATATTAACGCATTAAAAACATATCTAAAGGCTGGTCACTAAAAAAGTAACCAAAGTCTCTTTATACGCTAATCTGGACCCGTTTTCAAGTCACTTCAGCTGAAGAAATCTCATATTTTTTGTCAAAAACTTTTTGAAATATAGTTAAGTTTATCGAAAAATCTGGGAAGAATTTATGGGTTGAGTTTTGAGAAATCACTGTGCAAACTTTTTCCGAGAACTTTCTTTCCAACCTAATACATTTTTCTATCTTTTTACGCTAATCTGGACCCGTTTCCAAGAAAATTCGACCGCAAAAATTCGATAAAAGATGAGACCGTATTTTCTCTAATAGTAGTGCACTTTGGCGAGCCGAGTTGATTGACTATTTTACGGTTTCCAATTTTTCCCAGAAGCTCAACACTCTAATCCCCTACAAGATCTCATTGTCAGCTACATTTTCCGACCCCACATCGATAGGTTCTGATAAGCGATTCTCGAGATTTCGAGGAATTTAGGCGACGCTCCGGGTGCACTACTATTAGAGAAAATATGGTAATGATAGATACTACATTTTTCTCTTTTCTTGTTGAACTTTTGCGGGTAAATTTCGTTTTCTTGACTTTCGGTAAACTGATGCCGTCTCGGTAAAGATTCTCAGCCAACTGAAAACATTCAATCAATACTTTATGACTATACAATACTGGTTTTTCTCTTAAAACTCAACAACTTATTCGGAAATCTATAAAATGCGGTATAAAGGAACAGATTGCTCTGAAAATTTAGCTCCTCTCATTGACTCATTCATTTTTTTGAAATTTCTAGTTACGAATAAGATTTTTATTATATTTAAATAGATTTAAACACTTTTTTCTGTTGGTTTTGTTTATTGAAAGCAATAGCGCTCTTTTTGACATAGCAATAGGACTTTCGCATGAGTGATTGATAAAATCGGGACTCAGTTCCTAGTTTTCTTTTGACTATTACAATTACTAAGTGTCTAGATTTCTAGTTAGCATTTCTTGCTTTTAACTTTTTAGATCTAGATTCTAGATCAATCAAATAATGCAAAAATAAGAGTTAAATTTCGTTTTCTCGACTTTCGGTAAACTGATGCCGTCTCGGTAAAGATTCTCAGCCAACTGAAAACATTCAATCAATACTTTATGACTATACAATACTGGTTTTTCTCTTAAAACTCAACAACTTATTCGGAAATCTATAAAATGCGGTATAAAGGAATTGATTGAACAGATTGTTTCTGAAAATTTAGCTATAAATTTAACTTTTTGCGCTTCTTTCATGGCTTGATTTTTGAGATATCACTATGCAAACTTTCTTTCCAACCTAATACTTTTTGATTCATTAAAATCAATCAAATTTCGACATTATTACCCCAGTATTTGTCTATTATTTGTTCACAAGCAGCAGAAATTTAACCCTAATTTCCATACGTCAATATACCCGAATTTGACTAGGGAACCTAAACTAAAAACTTTACAGCATCGTCGCTTTGTCATTGATTTAGTCGAAACTTTCAAAATCCCCCGGTAGTAAACGATTGCCCTTTTTTTAGAGACTTTTTCAAATTTAAACCGCGGAGGGCTCATTCCCTTTTGCAAATTCCCTTTGCTTCTCCTCTTTATAATTCTGGGGAAGGGGGGTTCCGTTTGATTTCAGTATGTATTGTATGGTTAAGTATCACTGTGCATTTCTCTTGATTTCCTTCTTATCGTTTGAATAAAGTTATTATTATTATTATTATTATTATTAAAATCAATCAAATTTCGACATTATTACCCCAGTATTTGTCTATTATTTGTTCACAAGCAGCAGAAATTTAACCCTAATTTCCATACGTCAATATACCCGAATTTGACTAGGGAACCAATTAACTAATCAATAATTCAAGAATATAAAGAAATTTAGCGACTGCTTAGTAGTTTGGCAAGCTCAAAGTTCATTAAACTTTAAGCTTTGATGAATTTGTATTGCACAAATTTAACCCTAATTTCCATACGTCAATATACCCGAATGCATTCGGTTTTTTTGAATATTTCATATAGTTGGAGTAAGAAACCGTAAACTAAAAGTATTTTGCGCATTAACAAATCATATTAGAAGCCATTTGCTTTAGAAAAATCTAGACTTCTTCTTCACTAGCACCATTTTTTAGATTTTCTTTCTTTTCTCACTTTTTTCCTAGTTGTGAATCAGTGAGAAAACGGGCCCCGATTTTTGTTTTTTTTTTCTTTCTTCTCACTTTCAATTCTTCTTCAAACAATACCTTGTTTTCACCCAAAACAAAACTTGTCTCGTTCATCAGTTTAAACATATTCAAAATATTTATAAAATATTCTTAATTATTCAGGAGGAATCGGACGATCTCCGCTCAATCTCTAGCGCGTCTTTCGCCTCTCCGCGCACAATCGTTGAGGGTTCATTGGAGAGGTCGACAAGACAGGTTTTCTGGAAAATATTTCAACTTGTATATCATTATTTATTGCCATATTCATACATCATGAGTTATTCATCAGTAATCCTTGATTTCAGATCATTAGCGGAGAGCCTGTTTTCCCATTGTATTCTGTCATTGAGCCGATCACTCAAACGAGAAGTCCCGAAGCGGTGAGTGTAGTTTCATTACTTCTTTAGCTTCAATGCACACCTTTTTGACATTCAATTTTTTTTAGTTTTTTGTGTTTACGTTTTTGTTTTCCTTAAATCTTCATCGGCAACTTTATAAAGTTTTGTGCTAATCTAGGTAAACAGATAAGTGGATTTGTGATCGATCTCTAGTACTCAACGTTTACAAATTTACATTCTGAGAAACTAGTTGTAAAGTTAAGTGTAAAGTAGGCTAGTTTCTGCAACTTTTTTTGCGCAATAGGGTCATTTGCGCAACTGGGTCGTTTGCGCAACTCACCATAACTTTTTTCTAAGTGAACCAATCTTTATGATTTTGGTGTCATTTTGTTGCACTTATTGAGATCTACAAAATAAAACCAAAATCATAAAGATTGGTTCACTTAGAAGAAAGTTATGGCGAGTTGCGCAAACGACCCAGTTGCGCAAATAACCCTGTTGCACAAACTAGCCTACCCCGTAAAGTGCTTTCAAATGCTCCTTTTCTTGAGTTTTTCTTTTAGTTTCTCTAATCATCACTTATCCAAAGCCACTAACCATTTTCCAGATTAAAATGGGATCTCAATCAGATCCCCATCAATTCTCCTCATCAATTTTGGTGCCAATCACGGCACAAGTGAGTAGTTGAAAAGCTGATCTGCCGATCTTTTTGCTGAGTGTTTTTTTGCCTGTTTTCTCGCCTTTTTGCGGCTGATTACCTGAGATTTTCTCTCCAAGAGAACTCACTGAAAGACTTTTTTTTTGGCTCTGCTTTGCACCTTAACGATATGCACTGTTTTTCTTGAAAATCAAGAACAAATTCTAGGTTGATCTGACGTTAGAAGACCCGGACGAGGCACAGATATCGGAAAACGAGCAGACAATTATTGAGAGACCAATCACAAATATTGAAGAAGTGATTGAGGAGAGGCCGGAAGAGGTGCACAAAATAGAACAACAGGTGGGTTTTGCTAGAAGTTATTCGATTAAACTTGAACTGATTAAGTCCATGCGCAAGATTGGAGCCATTTAACTGACATTTTTTGACACAATCAACTCTTTCTATTCAATGGTTCAAATGTTTAGCGAACTATCAAATAATTATTTTACAAAGTTTAGCACTAGTTGCTAGTTTATATTGGGTTGATGCATAATTATCCGGACTTCTTTTATAAATGATTTTATTTAACAAAAAATAACATAAATAGTTAGAAAAATATGTTTAATTGATTATTCTGGAGCATATTCACCGCCTACATCAATAACTGATTGCCATTTGCTTGGAAGACGATCGATTCCACGAGCGAAGAATAAACGATCTTTGGAGGCAATCCACGCTTTAACATCGTCTATCAAGTCATCCAAATCGTTGTAGATCTTATTTGTTTGCCAATTTTTGAGCGATCGATTGACGTGGTAGTCCGTTGGGGCTTCTCCAGTTCTTTGAGATCGCGAAACGACTCTGCGGCCGACCATCCCTTTTCGAAGTGGTAGAGCATGATATGGCGAAGATGGATATGATTGTCGACACGCATTTTGTTCACTAAAGAATAACGAATATTTAAAAAAAGAAATAGACAAAAAGCTTTCAAAACAAAAAAGATACAAGCACGCAAAAAGAAGTCCGGATAATTATGCATCAACCCAATATTTTATTGACAGGCTTTTGGCATTTGAATAAAAGATTTTAAAACCCTTTTTAAAGTCCAGAATCTATGAAAATTCGTTGATTGTACAGTTTTTTTTTCTTTTTAGGGACAATAGAAAAAAATTGCGTTGGAGGTGAGCTATTGACTGAGTCATTGACTGAGAGGAGTGCAAACCCTTCACTGTCCACCAATTCAATGAAAATGAGAAAAAAGGCACTTCTCTTTTTCTAGAAATTTCATATTTCGATGTTTTTTTTCCGAGTGTTTCCTTGTTTTTCAAACAAAACAACGGTTTCCAGCTTTAAAGTCAAAATATCTAGACTTAGAAGGGAATATCAACTGGATTTTCTGCTCAGATCAGATGCGCCATAGACCATTCGACGCAGAATTTCACGCTCATCATGATGCTGCTTTTCTTTTTTGTTTAGGAGCACTCACTCTGTCAAAAGTTATACGCGGCTAAAGTTTTGTAAGAAGTTTTAAAAACCAAACCCCGACATTACAACCCTGTCTTTAAGCCATTCAGTTCAGCGGTGGCCGAGTGGTAGTGGGTTAAGACGCAAGACGGGGACGCTCTGGTTCTGATCTGGTAGTTGATTCTCTTTTTCTTTTTAGATTTTAATGCCTACTCGACCACCGCTTCAACTGCTGAGAGTTGCGATTTAATGTCACGTTGTAATGTCAAGGCTTTAATGCAAGACAGGGTTGTAATGTCGCGGTTTAGTTTTTAAAACTCCTTACAAAACTTTAGCCGCGTATAACTTTTGACAGAGTGCTCCTAAACAAAAAAGAAAAGCAGCATCATGATGAGCGTGAAATTCTGCGTCGAATGGTCTATGGCTCATCTGATTTGAGCAGAAAATCCAGTTGATATTCCCTTGTTAGATCCGGATTGTTATTCATTCTTAAATTTCTTAATTTTTTATATACCAAGGCCTCAAGTAAATCATTTTAGACGACCGAGAAGCGCTTTGAGCCAGCTTCTTCACAAGATCTTCTCAAAGGACTCATCAAATTGTCAAAACCGGAGAAAATTGAGGTAATTAATTGCAAAAATCATTAAGATTGAAAATTTAGACAAAATTTATGCAAATTTGATTATAAGCTTATTATTCCATGGTTAATAAGAACATTTTCAATAAGGCCAATAACTTTTGCCAACTATAACAAAAGATTTTGATCTTTAAATATCAAAAAAAAAATAGTTTTTGACTGTTTTATGTTGTTTTTGTTGTTTAAAACTTTCACTTTCCCGAAAGAATTCCCGAAAAATTACTCACAGAGGATTTTTACCGAAATCGAAAACCAGTTCTCTCTTTTTTATCGGTTTCCTCTCATTGACTCATTCATTTTTTTGAAATTTTTAGTTACAATTAAGATTTTTATTTTATTTAAATAGATTTAAACACTTTTTTCTATTGGTTTTGTTTATTGAAAGCAATAGCGCTCTTTTTGACATAGCAATAGGACTTTCGCATGAGTGATTGATAAAATTGGGACTCAGTTCCTAGTTTTCTTTTGACTATTACAATTACTAAGTGTCTAGATTTCTAGTTAGCATTTCTTGCTTTTAACTTTTTAGATCTAGATCTAGATCTAGATTCTAACTCAAGCAGATAATGCAAAAATAAGAGTTTAGATTGTTTTCGTTTTTTAATCTCATTTCAAAGCTTTCACTAAAGTCGTCAATCCAATCAAAAATCGACAAACATTTCGTTTCCTTGCCCTTTTCTTTTTCGCTTCGAAAATATAAATGTTTCGATTATTTGTGTGCCCGTCATGTCATCAATAAGAGAAGAGAAAGAGTCGTGATCGGGCTTGCTCATCTCCTCGACGATCTTTTCACTCTTCCCTCGTCAAAACTCCTTTCCCATACTCACAAAATGCTACGATTCTACTATAGCTATTCTAGGAAATCTAAATTTAAACGAAAACGAAACCTGAAAATTCTCTATGCTTCTAAAATTTTGTTCACTCGATATTCCCGGTTGAGGCCGGTTACGCGAGAAAATTTGGATTTAGTTCTGAAGATTTTGTTGAGAAATCTCGATCAGAGCTTTTTTAAGGTTGATTTTAGAGAAAGATTAAGTCAAATTAGAATTAAATCAAAGATTTTAAAAGCGCTTTTAAAGTAATCCTCATAAACTCAAAGACAATTTCGATTTGAAATCAAATTACCATATTCTCTCTAATAGTAGTGCACCCCGGCGAGCCGAGTTGATGCCTATTCTCCGGTTTCCAAGCTTTTGCAGAAGCTCAACACTCTAATCCCCCACAAGATCTCATCGTGAGCTACATTTTCCGACCGCACATCGATAGGTTCTGATCAGCGGTTCTCGAGATTTCAAGCAATTTAGGCGACGCTCACGGTGCACTACTATTAGAGAGAATACGGTCTAAGATTTTAGTAAATATCATTCGTATTGTATGCTTAATATTAATTCTATCATTGTTCTATCATTTTGCAGGGCTCAAGCCCAGTGCCGGATCGATCTCTACTTGAGCAAATGATGGACGAATCAAAGCATATTGAGCAGACGATCGATCAATCAATGAAAAGAATCGAGGAGTTGCATACGGTGAGTGAAATATACAATGCCTAAAGCATTCACTTTGAAATATTCACGAATTGTTTTGATTTTTGCTTTTTTTGTATTATTTAGAGCATTTTCTATTAAGTTTCTATCCAAATTTGATCAAAAGTTAAAGCATTAACTTTAAATTATTCACCATAAAGAAACCTACATAAAATTTATCCAATTAAAGCTAGCGATCTAAAAATTGAACTCTTAATGTGAAAATGTATGGATTATTTGAAAATCAACACCGTTTAAATCGATTCTCAAAAGTTTAATAATAATAATAATAATATTTTTTTAAAAAAAAAAAGGAAAAAAAAAATAAAAAAAAAAAAAATTTTAAAAAAAAAAAAAAAAAAAAAAAAAAAAAAAAAAAAAATTAATTTAAAAAAAAAAAAAAAAAAAAAAAAATAATTTTTTTTTTTTTTTTAAAAAAAAAAATAAATTTTTTTTTTTTTTTTTTTTTTAATATTATAATAATTTTTTTTTTTAAAAAAAAAAAAATTTTAAAAAAGAAAAAAAAAAAAAAAAAAAAATTAAAAAAAGAAAGAATATATTTTTTTTTTTTTTTGTTTTTTTTATTTTTAATAAAAAAAAAAAGGGGAAAAAATTTTTATTTTTTTTATTTTTTTTATTTTTTAAAAATAAAAAAAAAAAGGAAGAGTAAGGGATATTTTTTAAAAAAAAAATAAAAAAAAAAAAAAAAAAAAAAAAAAAAAAAAAAAAATAAAAAAATAAAAAATATAAATTTTTTTTATAAATTTTTTTTTTTTTTTCAAATTTATAAAATTTAAATATATAAAGGGGGGGAAAGAAAAAAGGAAGAAAAAAAGAAAATTCTATCAAAATTTTCCATTTTACAGGACTTCTCAGTCATTTTGTAGATTTTGATTTGAAAGAAAAAAGATTTTTTTTTCCAAATTCCCAATTTCAAAATTGTTTAATCATATAGCATTTCTCGTGTGTTTGCAATTCAAAAGAAAAACGATGAAAAGAAGAAAGATTGCACATGAGATGTCGATAATCAATTCCCGAAAACGCATGGGAAAAACGGGCAAAGATTTTTTTTTGATTTGGCTTGACTTTTCGCCCCAAAAAAGGGAATTTGTTGATATTGATTTTCTTTTTAAAGACAATATCTAAGTTTATTATTTTAATATTTAATCTGTAATCTTTAATATTTAAAGACAAAGACAACCTAAAAGAATACTTTGCAAGTAGTATACTAGTACGTACTAGTACTAGTACGCACGTAGCGTACTATAGTACGCTTTGGGTAATTGGGAAAACAATCCAAAAACTTTGACATTTAAGTCTTGCTTATTTCAGCTTTCAAAAGTGGTTGCTGAATGTTTGAATGTTTGAATGTTTGAATGTTATTTGTTTTGGCAGTGAAATTCTTTTTTTTCTTTTCTTTAGTCCATTCCCCTTATCAGTTAGTTGAATGCCCATGATCGGCAAAGCTTTTCGAGAGGAATCGATTTAAACTTGAGCTTTTCTATAAAAAAAAACTCTTAAAACTTGACTTATGACTTCAAAATCTATCAAGTTTTGTTTGAAATCTTTAAAGATTAATTTGAAATGATTAAAAATTGCAGCCCCGAGACGCCGACCGAGATCAAACCGAAGAAATCGTTTACCAAGAAGAGCCAAAACCAGCACCAGCTACTGAAATGTGAGTAACTTTAGTTTTAGAGAAGGATATCGGTTTCTTTTTGTTTGAAATCTTTGTTTTTTTTTATTAAAATCTTTGTTTTATTACTTAAATCTTTGTTTTATTCTTGATTTCTTCTTTCCAATCTTTTTCTTTTCATCTTTGAAAGCTTTACCTCTTCCATTTCAACCATTTTACATTTTTCAAATAAGGAATCAGATTTCAAAAAACGAAAAAACGAATAAGTAAATCTTTTAAGAATTTAAAAATTAAGATTCAATCTTGAAATTAGTGAAAAATAAAGCATTTGATCAGTTAAATTCAGAACTCGAGTCGAAATTCCAAAAAATTCAACAAAATTCAATGAAATTCAACGAAATTCAACGAAATTCAACAAACTTACCTTTATAGAATCAACTATTACATATCAATAACTTTGATTTAAATGCTTTACACAAATACTATCCAAGCAGTACCAATCACAAACAATTTCCCAGCACTTCGATCTGGGAAAGGGTTCTTGTTTACCCTTTGGTTGGCCCGTTCCACCCGGTTGGCCTCAACCCTTCCCCTTTCTTTCCTTTACTCCAAAGCCAGGTGTGACCATGAATCCCTTCAACGATCCACCAAACAAATAATATAAACCATCCCATAGATTATGCAAAGTTATTAATTGCTTTGAGCTTTTCCTTTTAAAAACTAGATTCAGAAAAGGAGATTACTTTTACTTTTACTTACTAAATCAGCCATGAAAAAGAATTTCTTGGTTTTCGTATTTTTCATTAAACTAGTACCAGATAGACATGTTCATTTTCGAGTTTTGGCGGCCGGGTCGGGCCAGCGGGTCGGGTCAAGCTCAAAATTTTGGCCGGGTCGGGTCAGCGGGTCACTTTTGACCCGACCCGACCCGACCCGATCCGCTGCCCATGTCTAGTACTAGATTTAAATTGACTTAGATATACTAAATTTAGACTTGAACAGATAGACTTGAATGACTAAATCTGATCATGTTCAAATCTATCAAAGTTGAAAATAAATGAATTCATCACCAAATCCTTTGTTAGGTTGTCAATGCTTGTCTTTTCTTCAAACAATATTTTCCCTTAGAAAAATTGTTGATCTTTTTTGTATTGGAATGAAGGGCTCTTGACGATTGTTTGCTTTTCGATTTCCTTCAATGCTTTTTAAGAAAAAAATTTCACATATCTAACACCCAGAGCCTATTTTTTTTTTGTTTGTTTGCTTGAAAAGGTTTTGCCTAGAAAAAAAAGATTTCGATCAAAGCCATTAAAGAAGAGAAATCGTTGAGTTGGGTGTTTTTGGAGGGTTTCCAAAAAGGAAATCAGGGTCATGACTGGGGAAAATAGGGAAGATAAGGGGAAAGAAAGAGACAAATCAAATGGGATCTCGTTTGAAAAGAAGAATAGAGAGATCTTTTAACTATTCGACTGTTTCTTTGTCGAACAAATCTTTGACTCTTTCTTTGTTTTGGAGGAATTTCTGTCCAACCTTCTTCACCATTCAAAATCGATTTCGGCTTTTGTTTACTTTTGATATTTATATTTACTTTAATAATCTATATATATTGTAATTCTTTGTGAAATATTGAAAACTAACAGGCTAACAGGTCAAGTTTAAAACAAGTTCAAAGTTTTCATGTCTGCAACAAAGCAACCAAAGCCAAGCAAGATTCAAATCAGATTTGGATAGCTTTGCCTGACCCGGAAAAATTAGTTTTAAAACGATTTAGGACAATTTAAGACAACGATTTAAGACTCTAGTTTTTAGTTTTATTTTGTTTTGTCCAAACATAATGAAACTCAACTACTTTCGTAAATAAAAACATTTCAACTTATAGGGTAAGAAAGAGGAGAATATGACCTTGATGAGGAAAAGAAGATGGGATCAGTGGATGAGGGTTAGACCAGTCATCATCTAATCCAAATCCTACTATTTTCTATGTTTCATCAATTTGCATATAGCCTGCAGCAAGCCTGGAATTTTCTATTACCCGTTTCTCTATGATTCACGATAGAATCTAGCCGTCGACATTGAACATTCAATCCATTTTAAAGCTCTTTCTTCTCATTTACACTTAACCAACTGAATAAGCGCTTTATTTGATCTGATATTTCAATACATATTCATTCTCAGGGAAATCGAAGAGATCGAAGAGCAATCGCTTGCATCCGCTTCGATCACGCTTGATCAATCGAGAGATTCCGTTTTGGACACTAGTCAACCCATTGACGAGTCGTTGCTTGTCGAACAACAAATGAGGTAAAGAAAGTTAGAAACAAAAGACTCAAAACAGGTTTTGTAAACACATTTTACCCTTTACAGCTCACAATCCGTAAGAAATTCTTGAGCAAATTATGCAACAATTCCCTGCAACGGTAACAAACAATGTATAGGCTCAAAGTTTCTATATCTAATGGTAAACTTGTATTTTGTACATTGTTTACTCATATACAAGTGAAAAGTGGCTAGGTTTTCTCGATTGATTGCTTTTATGCTATTTTCTCTCATCTTTGCCCACTTTTTTGCTTTTTATATAGGGGAAATGGGAAGAAACCCGTCTACGGAGATATCCATCTCAGAATCTTTTTAAGATCGACGATTGGAAAGGAAAAAAAGGAGGAGGGAAGGCCACCCGCTGTGAAGGGAAAAGAATCGAGGCTGAGGCTGAGGTGGACTTGCAGCCTTGCCTCAAAGCAGCCTTGCCTTGCCTTGTCTTGTACTTTATCGAACTCTCGTGATCACTTTTTCCCCTTCAACCCATTTCATTTTATAGCCTCGGACAAGAAAATAAAGATCTATATCAATCGGAGTACTGTTTGTGCCGCTTTTTTTTTCTTAATCTCGAAATTTTAAAGCTGATCAGTGTAAACTTTGAAGTAAGATGGGTAAAAAAGTAGTGATATATTCACAGTAGATATTCACAATATTATTTTTTCAATTCTCGGCCTACAAACACAACCTAATCAATCGATTTAGTGGGTCGAGACCAATGATCGCTCCTCCATCTCCACCGCTGGATCTCCCTCCACCCACCACCACCACCACACCAAGCCCCGCCGAAAACCTCGCCAAAGGTAAATCTCAATCTTAACTTTTCTATTAATCGATAACAGATTCCATCTGGAACATCGGCCTTCAGCTTCACAAGACCATCAAATGGAAATTATGCTGTTCCAACAATTGACAGGGAAAGTCCACGTTTCGATCACTCTACAGAGGAAGAAGTGATCATTCCAGCGAACACAACTGTCACAAACACTGTCACACAGAAAACGACAAGCATCTTGCAAAAAGTTTGTTGAATTTGAAATCTTATACCTAATTTTTCTAGAGTCCCGATCTTGAAGTGGACATTGACGGGGCGATGCGACGAGCGGCTCGTTATGGACAGACTTATGGAGATGCAGCGATGAGTCATATGAGAAGTGCGAACGAGGATAGAGGTAGATTTTAAAATTTAAAAACAAATTCTGTAATCAAATTTAAATTTCAAATCAAAGTAAGCTTCATTCTCGACATTTAAAAAGCCTTTCAATGCAAAATTTGGTGGCATTAAACCCAAAATCTGCCGGCTTTAATCTCTTTCAAATCAATGTTGAACTTAATATGTCAATTTTTAAGTTTTCAATCAATTATAATCTAAATGGATCTGGTTAGATGAAAACATTTAAAACTTTATTCTTACTAGAACTTCAAGCAACTCACTCACTTTCTTACCAGAGTATCTTGCATGTGGTCTTATATTTGTTGTTTCCGAGCACGGTTGGGAAGTTGATCAAATAAAGTCAGGGTGGGGCTCTTCCGTGTTGGCTTCCGTGCTTTTCAGGTATCTCCATATAGGGAAAAGAGGAAAATGGCCATAACGGGGATGGAAAGAGAAAGAAAGAGAAAGAAAGAGAATAGGATGGTATGGACAAACAATAAACCCCAAGAGCCAAGGCTGGTCCCTTCACCATTGCTGGTGGAAAGGGTGTTGAGAGTTCGATGACACCTTTTTGCTATTCACTTTTGCGTTTACTGACTTTAATTTAGCAATAGCCTTTTCTCTCACTTCATTTCTTCAATTTTGTCGATAATATTCAGCTTTTATCGCTTTAGCTTATTAAGTTTGCTTAAACAATTGTACTAAACAAATTCATAACGTTAAACCTCTCCATTCTTAACATTCTGACTCATTCCCTTCTTTTCATCAATACCGAATTGAAAATTGCTTTCAGTCATACAATCAACAGGTCATTCTTCCCATTCTCTTGATTGTTGTCGCTTTGATTTACACTACTTTTTGCTTTTTAGTTCTTCCAGGATTTTGCGGGGAAGAGTCTTATTATTCCAATTATTCTCTAAGTCAGAGTTACCTGGGGCAACGAGAAAGGAAAGGAAAGAAAAGGAGAGCCGCTCTCATCCATCTGCTTTGATTATCTTTTCATTCGCAACAATAAAGTCATAAAGCCAATATTTTGAAGAAAATTTGAGCAAAACTGTGGATAATTTTTGTTTAGATGAAAATGGCCTTTGTTTTCATTTTTGGAATCAGTCTATAAGCAGTGTTCTTCTCCGATATTCATTTTCAAAACCAGCAGCAAGTCAGCCAGCAGTCAGTGGTAAATCAGCAGCAAATCAGTCTTGCTATCCTTGCTAGCTATCATTTTCTTCTCAAAACCCATCCCAAACAAACATCCAACAATTGTACGAGATCGAGAATCTAAAATGTTTACCGAGAAAGTTTGAGACTAGCCGGTGATCAAAGGAAAGAATAAAGGGGAGGGGCTGGATAGGAGAGGATACAAGGGAATCAATGAAATGTGTTGTAGGATAGATGGCAAGCTGACAGCAGGGAAAACAGCAATCCTTTTCTGTTTAGGGGAACCTGTCCCCTCCTTTCCTCTGCTCTCTTCCACCGATTGCCACTCATTCCTTGGATGTCCTTCGCGCTCATTGCTTTCCACCCATTTCAACTCTTTTCGCACTTTTCCCACTTTTCTTTTTGGAAACACAGGGAATTCCCTTGTCCCCTTGTCCTCAGACCTACTTTGAACACCTCTACCCCATCCATTCGTCATCATTTGACCCTCTCTCAGCCTCGTTTCGTTTCGTTTCAAATTTTCTTGACTGTTTGATCAGGTTCTACTTTTCTATTAACTTGAACATAAATAAAAATTCCTTAAAATGAATCTCTCCTAATAGAATAGACCATTGTTTAAGGCCATAACTTGTCTCAAAAACCAAAATCTCTACGATACCTCAACTTTAAGCTTATACTTTTGAGAACTTTATCAATCAGTTAATCTACTTTGTAATACGGAAAGTTTCTACAAGTTGTATAATCCAAATCAAAGGCTAATCAAAGAGTTATTTCAATTCAAAATATATCAAACAATTTCCATTTAAATCTAAACACTTTTACCCAAAGCTAAACAATGAAATAATACGAAAGAAATTGCAGGCTCGTACCTCTCATCACCACCGATGGAACCTCCACCACCACCACCCCAGCCCAGTTACACTGTCACTCATCCACCAACTGTCGGAGGAAGCACTCGGGTGAGCTTTTTCATCAAAAGTATTCCCATCAAGAATTTTGATCAAAAGATAGCGAAAGTTGAGTGTGTCGATGAAATCTGGGGTAAAGAATTGTCTTTTCTCGCGATCCGTCAACAAACATGAAACCCAAACGAAACATTTTTTTTGAGAAAGAAAAGCTTTCTCCGGTAGAAAAGCAAAAACTATTCTGTAGATTCTATTTTATGTGACTAAGGGACTAAAGGAGAAAAAGATTGTTGATTTTTGACTTCTAGCGAATGAATTGGTGAATGGAGAGCTGAAATTTTTGTTTTGTTCTGTTCTGTGTTGTTTACCGAAGTTCATGCACACTTGAAAGGCTTTAAAATCTTGTTTTTAGGGCTTATAGGAGAAAACATTAAGCTATTGAGCAACATTAAGCTATTTTGTTCCTCTTGGTGGAAGTTTTGAAGTTCTGCAATGCGGAATTGTAAGTCTTGGGTAAGCTGAGTAACTATTATGTTGAATTTAATCTGAGTTCAAACCTTTCAGAAAGTTCAAAGCAGTATGAAACGTTTTGAATTTGCTGAAAACAAAAAGGTTCATCAGGGAGCAAACCCTGAACCAGTGGATGGAAGCTTAATGTGTTATCAATTAGACCACCAATGTACCTTTCTCGGCTAGAGCTAAGGAACCTTTTAAAGCATCGACGCCAAATTTGACCCCATTTTCTATTGACACCTGGAGAATCATTTGACAGATTTTGATTTCAGATTCGGATTTCTCATATCCGATTCTACAAAAGCTCACCTTAATTTCGTGCCTTTCCCTAGTTATGTAATGTTTAAAAATCCGGCTTCATTTACTAGGCTACTACTCGATTCCTCAAGCACTCTCTTATCGAATCGCTTGTATGCAAAACATTTCCCCATTGCAGGCTGGGTGTTTGCTCTCTTATTGCAAGGGGGGGAAAGAGGTCCACGCAATATTACCTGTATCACTTTGTGCTTTGAATGCAAGGGGAAAGGTTAGACCCCGTAAAAGGGAAATATAGCGGTGAATTGATCGCGCGTTGTTTACCGCTCCGCAGGGTGAACGGGTGGAAAGGAACTCTTGTTGGGGATGGAAAGGGACAGAGGTACAGAGGTGCCTTGTTCCCTTTGTTGGCCCCTTTGGTGGCCCCTTTGGTCACCCCCACCGGCTCTAACTACCCCTTTCTCTTGTCCCACCTGGACATTCTCTTCACCCAAGCACTTCATAATTTCCCACTCGATTTTAACTCTTACTAGTAGATCAAAACTTGAGTTAGTGTTTTTTGACGTGTTTCTAACGCTTTTCAAAAAGCTGGCTTCTTTTTTGTACCTAACTGATGAGTGTTTAGCATTTGAAATACTTGTAACTTTCATCAAACTTTACAAGACTTTTTATAGAGCTTTGAAACTGAGCTTTTGTCTATGAGTTGAGTTTTATCTTCAATCAAAAGCACCACCTTTTCAAAGTTTTCAATTCAAATTCTTTTTTTAACTTATTGTTCTTGAAATTTTTCTATACACACCTCAAACAATTAGCTTCTTTTTCCAAACTCTTTCAAGATTTTTCTCTTTTCTCCTCAAAATCAATACATTTTATAGCTAAAATTGAAAGAATTCTAAAGAAGCCATAGTACTAAAGTTGTCATAATTTTTCTACATCAATAACTAAAGGAAAATTAGTAAATTTTAAGCCTATAAGATTCAATTCAGCTTCTAAGCCTCAGGAGAATTCAATTATTCAATTAAGTTTTAGATCAATTTATTCAAATGTTTTCTCTGATGTCAGATAGCAAAATGATTGTATGTGAAAGAGATGGGCGAGTGCTAAGTCTGTGCAATGCTTCATCTCCTCGTCTTTTCTTTCTTTTCTTTCTTTTCTTTGCTCTTTTTCATCTCAAAGAATCCCTCTTCTTCTGTTGTGTGAGTCGAAATGCACACTTTGCTTTTTCTTCTTTTCTTTTCTTTTCCCATTCCCATTCTTGCATCTACATTTGAGAGCCCCAAAAGATTCTCAACAATAAGCCAATGATAAGGAGTCTCTTTCCTTCTTTCTATTGTAGTGTCGATTCATTCTTTGCCTAGTTTTCATAACATAAATTTTGCATTTAGAAATCCTTGAAGTGAGGGTTTTACTTTTTAGAAACACTAAACTAATTGAAGTTTTATCAAAATTTTAGACTTACTTTGAAAGATTTACTTACTTAGATTTGAAATTTTGACTGCCAAGCTTTTGATTGAGATTTTGATTGTCAAACTTGATGCTAACAACTATTTGAAGCAACTAGTCGACTTGTAAAAGAATTTCAGAATAAAATTTGATCAGTTTTTCATTTTTCAAAATTCCACAAAACACTAAAATTGTCAAGAAATCGATCCGACACTTTTTTTGTTGGGGTTTTTGTGTTTGGCCAATGATTCCTTATCGGGTGATGTGTAGGGGGGAATGGTTGGGTGGGAAGGTCTCCCCTTCTCCATGACACAAGCACTGATTCAGCCTAGACACTCCTCTTCTTTGTTCTTTTCTTTTCTTGAAGCATTCCCTCATCGGAACGTCATGACAATTGGCTCACAAAAACATGCACATGCCACCAGAGTTGATATCAACTTTCTCGGTTCAAATTGAGCAAAAAATGTTGCGCTATTTTTACTAAAATCAGATCTTAAACTTCAAAGACTAAACTCTTGAAATGCTATTTTTTTATTTTGTAAAGATTATAAGCTTAAGAAACTGAATAGTTGTAGTCAAATTTAGACTTAGGTTGACCAATTTACTCATTTTCCTAGTATCATTGCTTTCAAATCTCATGTTACCGCTAAACCTTAGCTTCAAAATCACACTGTTTAGCTTTCACTCCACTCCTTTCACCACAATTCATTTGCATGTCCGCTGTTTGCTCATCATTTCAGGGAAAGGGTTTTGTCTAGAAATGAGATCTGTGTGGGAGATGAACGGTAGTGGTGTCAATGCTTTATTTGTGGATCCTTTCATCCGTTTTCTCTTTTCAGTGTCCCTCCATCTTGCTTAACGTGCTTAAGACTATAGCATGAAGGACTCAAATCGTTCTTTTTGTTCATCCACTTGACAACCAAGCACTTGAAATGTGGCAAGTTTCATGTTCTTTTGAGACCAAGAAACCTGTTTTCTTTGTTTTGTGCTGATTGTGAGTACAAGATTGTAAACTAGTACAAGATTGTTAAGACTCAGACTAACCTCTTTGATTGACCTCTTCTCAAAAGTTCTACAGTTCACTTGCAAGATTGAAGCTTTATCTCGAATCTACATTTTCCAATTTACATAAAAAGTCATCGCATTACCACCTTTTGCCCCATAGAACACAAGGAATGCATAATCTTTATTCCAAAATGGGGAGCACAACGTGTATGGAATGAGTGTCATTCTCTTCCCATCCCTCCTCTTTTTATCCCTCATGATCAAGGCCAAGACATTGTCCTTGGCGATCTTCTCGGGGTATAGATGAGGCGAAAAAGAAAGAGGGTTGGGGTATTCCATTACAATACAAGCCTTCAAATGCTCACATTTAGCTCCCCTTCACCGATCTTTTCACAATGGAGGTCATTTCGTGAAATTCGAAAATGATCGAGTCTTTTCATATAACAAATTTTTCAAATTCTATTGATTTGTAAATTTTTTAGATATGTTCTTTACTTGTCTGTTAGATTGGTCTTGAAGATCTCTGAGCTGATTGCTTGTGCAAGTCTAATGCAAGATCTTTGATTTAACTTGAGTCCCAATCAAATATCAATCCAATAACAGGAGAATTTGAATCTTTCAATCCCAGGAGATTCTATCAATTTCATCTTTCCTAGTTGCATTAGTTCATTTTTCTTATTCCCAATTCACTTGCCAACTTCTTACCGACCAGCTTCTTTACTTGTCTGTTAGATTGGTCTTGAAGATCTCTGAGCTGATTGTAGTGCAAGTCTAATGCAAGATCTTTGATTTGAGTCTTTGAGTCCCAATCAAATATCAATCCAATAACAGGAGAATTTGAATCTTTCAATCCCAGGAGATTCTATCAACTTCATCTTTCCTAGTTACATTAGTTCATTTTTCTTATTCCCAATTCACTTGCCAACTTCTTACCGACCAGCATCGGGTGCGCAAACAAAAACAGAAAACGGTGATGTGAAAAGTGGCGATCGTTCTTTTTTTCCTTTTCCACATCGAGAAAATACTAGGCACTGTGTCAAGAGAAAGATAGTTTCTTTTTTTGACGTTGTCTGCACGACGTGATGCCACACCCGCTAAGCTCTCCCAATCGCTACACATTCCCCTCTCTCTGTCACCAAACTCGATCATCTGTTGTTTTTCTTTTTTGCTATACTTTCAGTTACCAAAAGCTAAGCTTTATTTCTTCTTATTGCAATTCAAATTCAATTCTATTCAATTCTATTTCCGACTCGACTAATTACATTAATATTAAGCTCAATCTTTGAGCACTTAAATTAAAATTCCACAAGACTTGAAAGGTTGTTGAAGCAACCAACTTCCTGTTAAAAAACGAAGATTTTTTTTCCATTTTAGGATCATATTACTGGATTTTAAAATTAGTGCTTCTTTGAATGCTTTCTGATGTCTTTCCGAATTTTCCAATGGAATCCGATGCCCATCTCTACCCACAAAAATCTTTGCTTTCCGTGATTTTCACCTGAAATTTCTCCAATTCTTTCTCTTTTTACTTTTACCTAAGCAGAGAATGGCAAAAAGTGGTTGTTTTGTTTGTGTTAGAGTCTCTTCATCCAGGAGAAATGGGAAAAGGAGATTGCTTGGGAACTTTGTCGTTTACCTCCAATTTTTGAGATCATTCTGAGTCATTTGACTTCAAATCGGTAAATACATCTATTATATAAGCTTTAGTTTCTATGTCTACTAATCCTTTCTAAACTTTTATCTACTAGATTTATTAAAAAGAAGTAACAAGTTTCTTTTTCACGTGCCAGACTTGGTTCAAATGAACAGTCAATTTGTCTTTAGATCTCTGAGCTGATTGCTTTGCAAGTCTAATGCAAGATCTTGGATTGAACTTGAATCCCAATCAAATATCAATCCAATAACAGGAGAATTTGAATCTTTCAATCCTAGTAGATTCTATCAACTTTTAGTTTCTATGTCTACTAATCCTTTCTAAACTTTTACCTACTAGATTTATTAAAAAGAAGTAACAAGTTTCTTTTTCACGTGCCAGACTTGGTTCAAATGAACAGTCAATTTGTTTTTAGTCAACTGAAAGCTGAATTCAATACGATTTAGTCTTATAAAGTTGAAACAAAATTGTTGTAAAGGAAATTTTTCCGGACAAGGGTAGGTCCTGACTGGCTTGACTTACAGGTTCTAAGTCTAATCCTTCATCAGGCACATTGTTTTGAATCAAGAACGCACTCTCAATTCACTATTTATCTAAAAACTCATATCTGACTATTCCTAAAGTCAAGTAATATTCTTGAAACGTTTATCCTTTGATGTTCATTGACTGTTTCTCATGAACACCCATTTCATTCTCAGCTGGATGAAGGTACGGGAGATGGGTGACCTGCATTTGTTTATTCACTCTCCTCCTCTCCCGTTTTCTTGCCGTTCTGTTCATTCTCGGCATCCTCAAGGACACCTCCTCTTCTTTCTCCACTTCTTTTTCATATTTGTGTTCCTTTTTTCATCTGTCAATCATTGTCACTTTACTACTTTTTGTACATTTCAATCGATTTCCTTCTCCTCTGTTTTCCAGGCCATTTTCAGCCAATCTTTTATGACCGTTATCGGTCCAGCAAAGCGAATCAATGTTTCCGTGACTCATCTATTGACTAGGTTTTTCAGAAACGCTGAATAGAATGCAGCTTATCAGTTCGACTCATTAGTTGACATTGAAACCATTTACCCGCTCAACTTTTCAAGCTTTCACAATTAGAAGTAAAGATTCCTTTTTCAGTCGTACTCTCGTGAGGATTTGTTGTCTGACGCAGCTCCATCAAGATCAACGATTCGCGAGATTCCCGTGCAAAGAGCCGGCTCAGCTTCACAAACCGCCTCATCATTCGATTATTCGAGGGCTCTCATGCCATCTTCTGGCTATGATACACGTCCAGATCTCGGAGATGAGTACTACAGAAGAGAGGTGGGTGTAAATGACTTCATTTTGAGCAAGCTAGACATCAATAAAACAAAGCCTGGTACAATTTCATAATCTATTTGCTTTAATCTAAAAATTTTGTGACATTCTTTAGACGCATCTATTGGAATTGTACCTGGATCTTGTTCTAAAGTGCACTTTGATGCTGAAAGCAGAAACACAACCGAAACTAGTGCATTCAAACTGAAGTACAGTACTGGACAATGAAATATGATATTTGAAAAACGATCGTCACTTTCGCGCGTCTGTAACTCCATTGTCTTTGAGTTTAAACAATTAGTGTTATACATTTTCTGAAAGCTCTTTTCAAGGGCTACACAATGGTAATATTAATATTTAGAAATACGGTAAAGACAAGGGAGTTACAGACGCGCGAAAGTGACGATCTTTTTTCAAATATCATATTTCATTGTCCAGTAGTGTATACTGAAGGACGCACCAGTAAGGGTGTGTTTCCGTATTCGAGCACAAAAGTACACTCGACAAAGAGTTCTTCGTGAGTTACTAGAGTTAACAGTTACCTTTTCCTTAAATATTCTGAAAACCCCGCATCATTTTTGGGTGTCGATCAAGAAATTAGCCCTTCAGTTAAACTTCTCTCGACCGAATTCCCGATTTTACATCCCGGTAAATGAAAAAAACAAATTCTAAATTTCACTGCTGAGTGCTGTGTTCAACATTTTATAACTCAAAATATGTTAGATATCATTTTTCTCCTCAACTTCTCCTTCTATAAATCTTTCCTTTTTTTTTTCAGCGTGTTCGCCTAAATCTTTTTGCTAATCAGGTAAACGAATAACCAAATAACAAAAAGAAATAAACTAAACGAATGCAAATTCTAATTAAAATACACATAGAAAAAGCACATCTGATTTAATGGAATTGCCTAAGAAATCGATTTTTCTTTAGGTGATTTCGAGAACGGTGATCACACGAAGTCAGGAGACTCTTTCACAGCCACCACTTGGAAGAAGTAGTCCGATCGAACGGTGAGCATATTAGATAGAACTTTTTTCTATTCTATTCTAATTTCTAAAGTTTTAAACTCACTTTTGTTCAGATATGTCTCTTATCCTGACCCGAACACCCGCGAGACCAAAGAGGTTGAATATCGATATAATGTCACGCGAAATGTAAGTTCAGATTTTGAAAGTTGATATTAGAGTTGATATTAGTCATTTATTCAAAAAGATTAATCATGATAAGTCATTTGATCTAGCCAGATAAACTTTTGATTTGAATATCTAAAACATTTTCAGGTAGAGGAAGAAGAACGCCGAATTAAAGAGGCGCAAGAACGCCGTCGAAATGAGGAGGAGTCGAGGAGACGACGAGAGGATGAAATGAGAAAAGAATTGGATAGAAAAGAGAAGGAACGATTGGAGATTTTGAGGAGAGAATGGGAGAGAAAGGTTTGAAATTTGGTGGATGTGGGGAAATGGGAGGATTCAGGAGCGAGAACTTGAATCGGTGCAGAATGAGAGGGAACGAAATGAGAAAGATCGAATCGATCGAGATCGAGCTGAAAGAGAAAGAATTGAACGACAGAGAAGAGCTGAATGGGATGCGAGAGAAGCGGAGAGGAGAGCGCTCGAGGAACAGGTACATTTACTTACTCTACTCATTCTGATATGTAATGCGGCTCAGGCCAGAGCAACGAAGGTTCGAGAGTAAATCTCTGGCGTCAACTTATTGTTACTGGGCTTCTTTCCTTTTCGGGCTTTCTTTTAAAACCTGTACCAATAGAACTACGGTTTATTTCATTAGAAAAGTCAATGATTTTTCAGCAAAATAACATTAAGCGGGTTTAAAATGTCTTATTTCTGGATTCTTTTGAGAGAGTTAAGTGAAAAAGTCAGCTTAATGGTATCATTTAGACATTTAAGGAAACCTAAGCTAAGGAAACCTATTTTCGTGTCAATAGATAAAAGATTGACCACAAAAAGTTAGGTATATAGTTAAATTTTCAAAGTAATTGATTAGTTTTTATAGATTTTCTTACGAAAAACACGTGTTTTCACTGTCGAATTTGCTTGAAAGTTAACCCAAATTGACTTAAAAAGATGGGAAATTGAGCAATAAACACTTTTTATTTTGAGCAAACTAGAGTTTAATTGATGAATTTGTTATATGAATTGATGAATTACGACAAAAGTACGAAAAGATACGAAAGTGAATCTTTCTTAGTTGACAATAGATAAAAGATAGAGCTTTCTGAACAGCCGAATATCTTGTCTTTAGATCAAAAAGTGAATAGCATCAACCTCGTACTAAAAACTTCACTTGGATTAAATATCTCATCAACAAATCAAAATTTCAGGAACTTGAGCGTCGTCGTCAAGAAGAACGCGAACGTCTGGAACGAATCCGTCTTGAAGAGGAACGAGTTGAAAGAGAACGATTGGAAAGAGAAAGAAAACGAATGGAAGAGGAGAGACTTCGTCGTGAAAGAGAAGAAGCTGAACGCATTGAGAGGGAGAGGTTTGTTCGTTGATCAATTCTTTACAGTTTGTACAGTCATACTCCATCGTTAAATCCGTACAACAATCTGCGATTCCTTTTTAAGTTCAAGGCTTTAACTTGTCTCTATCAGTTCTGTAATTCGTGCAATTTTAAATGATTCATCTACTATCTATAACTAGTATAAGATAAAGTTTTATAAAATAAACAATTTCTAAAAGAAATTTCGATGCTTTATCGACTTTACAAAAGCCATTCCCTTTTCCCTCTATCGAATGGCAATTTTGCATGATGATGGATCGAATAAGAGAACGAAAAGAGCTTCGAATGTAAATGATCGAAAGAGAAAGACTTTTTCTGGTCTTTTTTTTTCCTTTTTCTTTTCTGTTTGATGCCGGTTGTTGTGGGGGAAAAGGCGAGCCCCGAATTCGCAATGAATCACAAGCGACATCGATTGTCGGACGACCGCTTCCGGCCTTTTACAAACTGATACGATTTCTAATACATTTTATTCTATTCAAACTATACAATGGTGAAAGTGGAAGTCAAAAAGGTGACTTTCGTCAAATCGGTGCAACACTCGTCGACAAGTGTCAAGAAGAAAGTCGCGGCGCCGATTTACTCGATCAAAGCTGCGCAACCGAGTGCGACAAATCTGGATATTGTCAAAATGGCAAATGATGGGAAATTGCAACCAATAATCAAAGAACAACATCAATGGAGAGAAGTATTCGATCAATCCACTGAGAAATCGATTCCCGATCCAAGAAGATCCATTTCCCCGTCTCCTTTAACTCAATTGCATTCAAATCCACCGACACCAAAAATTCGTAGAATCCCGGCTAGAGTCACCAATGATTTAAAGAGTTTAGATAAAATGGAGCGTGATAGGTAGATAAAATAATTTGGCTAATCAAAAAGAAAATTTTAGAATCGAACGCGAACGACTTGAGCGTGAGAGGATTGAAATTGAACGAATTGAGCGCATCAAGAGGGAAAGAGTGGAAAGAGAACGACAAGATCGAGAAAGGGAATTGGAAGAGCAGAGACGATTGCAGAAAGAACGCGAGGAGTTGGAAAGGATCGGTGAGTTCATGATGAAAGAAGAATTCATTAGAATTTATTGGAATAAAAACTTTATAATCAAATCAACTCTAAATTTAGAACGTGAACGTCGCGAACTTGAGCGCCGAGAGCGTGAAGCATTGGAAGCGGCTCGTCGTGAAGCTGAAGCTCGTGAAAAGGAACGCTTAGAAGATGAAGCACGAGAAGCAAGAAGAAGAGAAGAAGAAAGAAGAGAAAAGGAATTACTTGCTGATATTCAGAGACAAGCTGAGGAAAGGGAAAGATTAAGAAGAATGCAAGAGATTGAAGAAAGAGAAAGATTGGAAAGGATTCGATTTGAACAGGAAAGACTTGAGAAGGAGAGATTGGACTTTGAGAGAAGAGAACGAGAACGACAAGATGCTGAGAAAAGGTTTGATTGATTTGAGATAAAAATATATTGTAAACTTTTTAGAGAACATGAGTTGCTTGCTCAACAACGAGCTGAACGGGAGCGGCGAGAGAGGGAGAGGATGGAGGATGAATTGAGAGAAAGACAAAGACAAGAAGAAGAAAGAAGAGAAAGAGAAAGAAGGGAGAGGGAAAGACAAGCAGCGATTGAAAGAGAAAGACAAAGAAGAGCTGAAGAAGAAGCTGAGATGAGACGTTTAGCTGAATTGGAGAGATCCAAGCTGGATAGGGATCGACAGAGAGAGGTGGGGCTTAAGAAAATAGCTTAATTCATAGATTTCTTATTTCAGGCTGAAGTGGATCGTGATCGTGAGCGAATCGAATTGGAGCGTCGTGCTGTTGAGTTGAAAGAATGGGAACGACGAGAGCAAGAAAGACGAGATCGAGAAAGAGATGAGGAAGAAAAGCAATTGAGAGAATTAAAGGATAGAGAAAGAAGGAATCAAGAGATTCGAGAGAAGGAAAGAATTGAGGCAATTGCGAGAGAGGAAACACGCAGAAAGGTGGGTTAAAGATGGTTAGACAATCAACAGGTTTAATCATTCACAGCTTGAATTCAAAAAGGCTAATAAGTTTAAAGCTTTTACTTTACCTAATCTTTATGAGACAAACATTGACTTGAACGCATAACTCTTAAGCTAACTCTTAAAGCTAACTCTTAAGTTAACTCTTAAAGCTAACTCTTAAGCTATCTCTTAAGCTATCTCTTAAGCTAACTCTTAAGCTTAAGCTCAAGCTCTTCATTTTTCTTATTCAGGAAGATCGTCGCTCTCGTGAACATCTCGATATCATCGTTCGTGAAAAAACTGAAAAGGAGCGCTTTGAGTTGGAAAAGAGACGCTTGCTAGAGGCAAAAGAAGCACGAGAGAGAAAAAGAAACGATCTTACTTCTCCGGAAACTCTCGGGAAACTTGTTCGCCCAGCGTATTTCAGTCGTGAAAATCTTTCAAATCTGGGCACAGAAGTCACAACGAAAGTCGAAAGACAGGTAAAATAATCAAGGAAAATAATGAAATCAATATTTTAGGTGATCGAACGAGTTGATCGCAATCTTTTTGTCGATGATCAAGTTCGCACCTATCCAATCACTTTGGGTACATCAGGAGCACTTGGATATCGAGAATCTCCATTAGATCTTACGACAGAAGAAGAGAGACGAGAGAGAATGTTCAGTCAACGGTTAGTTAAAGAAAAATATGATACGCAAAGCAAGTAACTGAACAAGTCACTTAATGAACAAAGCAATTTAGCAAGGCTCTAGACCTCTGCCAATAGTATTTTACTGTAGTTATTCGATGATACCTGTACTACTTTAAAACAAGCTCTAACTATCTAGCTCGGAGTTGTAAACTTTAAGTCAGATTACGGTAGTTGGGGTATACTTTTGAGAGGGAGGAAATAAGAGAGAAAGATGGGTCCTTTAGAGCTCCTTTAAAGCCTAAGTTGATGCTCTAAACTATCGTAAACCAGTCTAAATATCTACAACCTCAAAATCTTTCTTTAACATTTTCAATCATTTCAGTGTCGATGACTTGAATCGCTCAAACTCGGCGCGTACCTCGAGATTGCGTTCGAAAGTCGAGAAAGCTCGTCGCGATTTTATCACCGGTCAACCCGAATCCACTCAAGGTATCGTCATGTGAAAAGACAAAAGAAAAAAGACAAAAAACTGAAAATCATTCTACTGAAATGATTGTCAGCGATCGATTTTGCCATTTATTCATTTTTTTTTTCTCTTGCTTATTTTAGAAAACGCTAGATGATTTGATTCAAAAAAAATTTTCACACGACAATTAGTTTTACTTTTTTTAGTTTTTACTAAAATGGTGTTTGCTCAACACAAATATTTTTTACTTTAAAACTTTGCTTTACGAAAAGAAAAAAGCTGAGCAAATTCCTGAACACTTGTGATACGTTTATGCATGTTTGTTTTTCTTTTCCAGTTTTCATAATCTTTCTGGTAGTCCTGGTGAAATAGATTTTGAAAATGTTCAATGTCAAAAACAATCACCCAACTCAGGCAATCTCAAGCTAAACATTGCACTTATTTGATCACGTACACTGCCACCAAAGGCTTGCTTTTCCAGACATTTAGTGCAAAAAAAAAGATTCTTCAAACTTTTGACTTTTATTTAGCTATTTGATCTGGATTATCAAGTTTAATTGAACCTAAAGTTTCCCTTCACCTCTGTGCTCGGTTTTGACACTTTTTAGAGATCTTTTTGTTGCAATTCTAGTATATCTTTCAAATCAATTTGAAAAGAAAAGTAAAGTAATAGATTGTAAAAAAAGCTCAACCTTGTCTTACTGCAGTTTTAACAGCGCAGATCAAAAACTTGTGCGCCGCCGGGACTCGAACCCCCGACCCATCGGTTACCAGGCAAGCGTCTTAACCATTACACCACAACGCATCTGATCACCCTTACTCCAGAGGGCATTAAGTGTGCCAGAGTGAAGATATTCAGCCCTTAAAACCCTGAAATTCCATTAGTTTTCAGTTTTCTTTAGTTTTAAAACCTATATTGTCTAGATTAAAGGACCATTCTGGTAATCATTTTATTAAACTGTAGCTGTAGTTAGACTGTAGCTGTAGTTAGACTGTAGCTGTAGTTAGACTGTAGCTGTAGTTAGACTGTAGCTGTAGTTAGACTGTAGCTGTAGTTAGACTGTAGCTGTAGTTAGACTGTAGCTGTAGTTAAACTGTAGATAAAATTGAGCGTCTTTAACTTGTTAGACTTGCTTAGAAAATGCTAGAAAAGAGGTTAAAGTTCTAAGTGTGAGGTATGGCAAACGAAATTCCAAAGGTTTTGCAACAAAAAGACTCCTAAATGTCGATTTTTCCCCAAACAAACCCCTTCACCCCGATCACCACCGAGAGAGGCTGATGAGTGCATTTCTTTCTGTCCCCTTCAAACTTTTCAAACTCTTCAAACTCTAGAAAACATATCATTTAGCACACGTACATATTAGTCGATTTAAATCTTTTTCTCTTGTTTAGTTTAAGAAATAGACTAAACAAAAAATTTTTTGAAATGTTTAGTTCAGTTTTTTTAGTTTTCCTTTTTCCTTTTTCCTTTTTAAGGGGATTTCGTTTTTCGCTTTTCATTTTTTTCCACGACACAAGCAAAACTAAGAAATGTTGCTGTTGGGATCCCCATAATCACACCCTATTTTCATATTTTCAGTGTGATCTTTTTCAAAGAAATTGCCACTTTTGAAGAGCAAAAATTTAAAGAAACGTTTCGAAAAGAAAAGCGGTGAAATTTCCCAATCAAAATTTTCCGTAATACCTACCGTAAACACTGTAATAGTACCCCGCCCCCCTCGTACAGTCGCCTAGTCGCAAAAGTTTTTTAGTGTTTCATTTTTTTCAAAGCGCCCGTACTTTCAAAAAATGCATCTTTGGTATCAAAAAATAGCTGAAATTCAGGGCTATTTTTTGATACCTAAGCGCGCATTTTAGCATAAACCAGTGTCGAGAAAAACGCGCTCAAAGCTAGACTACCCAACACTCCACGCCGTCATTATGGGGGGTCGGGTACTATTACAGTATTTACGGTAAATGATTTGGCAAAAGAGCTAGCGATTTCGAATTCAATTGCCGTTTCTTTTTCTTTTTTTTTTTACATTTTTATCCTGACAAATCAAAAACCATATCCATTTCTCATTTTTCATTACAACTTTTTCTGATTTTGTATCCAAAATAAAGGTTCTGAAGAAAGAAAAAAAATTTGAAATTACACATCCCTAAACGAGAAAAAACTTTGGAAAGAAATGCATTCATCAAAAAAAAAAAAAAAAAGCATGCTTTGTCAATAAATCTAATATCGGTTTCTTGGTGGTGAAAATGTGTAAATAATTTGTAAAATGTCAAAAAAGAATTTCCCCTGCATGAATGAAATTTCAATCGAGGAATATTGACGAGTTTTTTTTAGCGTTTTTTTGTAATCACCTTTTTTTCACCTTTATTTTTAGTTGGTTTTTATCCTTTTAGCATTTTGTGCTAAAAGGATGTGCTTTCAGCCTTTTAGCCTTTTAGCCTTTTAGCATCGTTCTATCCTTTTAGCATTTTGTCTTTTTTTTTTTAGTTTTGATTTTGAAAATAGACAAAACAGAGCTCGTTTTGTAGAGGTTTTTTTGATGAAATAGTGAAAAATAGAGTAGTTGAAGATCTAGCGGTTTACAGACAAACAAAAATTTCGTATACGCTAAGGATCTACTGGTGAAAGTGGAGTATCGAAAAAGTTGAAAAAGTTGAAATTGAACATTCAACTTTTAGCTAACTTTTTGAATGTCCAAAAAATAGTTTGCTTGTTCTTTGAAAAGTATTTTGTGCTTTTAAATAAGAATAATCTTTCTAGTACACTAAGTTCTCGCTTTCTCAAGAAATGAAGTAATGAGTACGCTAGAAGCGACGCGTTTCTATTTCTAGCATAAAGTACCAACGGAGAACAAAGTCTTAGATCTAAAATTAGAAATGGAAATGATTGCCGTAGTCTAGGTAAATGTATATCACTCTTTTTGTTGCGAATTTTGTGACAATTTCGTTTGTCATACCTGACACTTAGAACTTTTGGGTCATACCTGACACTTAGAACGTCATACCTGACACTTAGAACGTCATACCTGACACTTAGAACGTCATACCTGACACTTAGAACGTCATACCTGACACTTAGAACGTCATACCTGACACTTAGAACCTCTTGTCTAGCATTTTCGTTTGAAAACAAATGAGACGTAGACGCTTAATTTTGTCTTGCTACAGTTTAACAAAATGATTAAAAAAAAATTTGAAAAGATTCACGAAACGGATGGAAACGAATTGTAGCTTGAAGAAAATTCATAGCTTATCGTTTTAACACATTCACAAAGTCATTTTCCCTTGGCTGCCCTAGGGATCCTGATAGATTCACGAAACGGATGGAAACGAATTGATTCAAATTCAAAAGAAAACCAAACAGATTTTAGTAATAAAATCGTTTGCAAAAAGATTGTGAACTTACTTATCGATGAAATTAATGCAAATTAAAACTTTAATAGCAATTTAAGGTTCAGTTTCGTGGCTGTAGTATGCTAAGTATTCAGATTACAGTATCTAATCTACAGTACTTTCCTGATACATCTTATTGAATACTATTTAACATCTATAACAAGATTGAGAACCGTGACTTACAGTAACAACAAATTCTACTTGAAACTAGATCGATAAGCAAGGTTTACTTTAAAAAAAGGAATGCAAGAATTGAGACTGCATGTTCAGAGTCGGCATGGCGTCGTTCACAAGAAGATCTCGGGTTGAGACCAAGACCCGAATTGAGAGGTCCACTTCTACAGAAGTTTCATTCAGGGCAATTCTCATCACGTCCCGAGGATCTCAATGTGCCGTATCCACGCGTTGGACCGTCTCCATACAGTCAGGTTGGTTGAAAGGAGTTTTCTCGAGTTTTAAAGTGCTTTCGCTTTGCATATGAATCATGTGAACAGTTTTCTTGGTACATAGATTAAATGGTAATGTTAAATGGTAATGTTAAATGGTAATGTTAAATGGTAATGTTAAATGCTAATATTTATATGCAAAGTAAAAGCTCTTTCTGACTTTTCAATAGATTTAGTTCCTTGGTTGCTTTAATTTTGAGTTTCTTTTTTGCCAAAAAAACATCTGACACTTTGTCTATGTGGTGCTTTCTTTGTTTTTCTAAAGATTGGGTATTTGTTTGTGCTTGTATAGAAAAGCGTAAAGGTTGTACAGGCTTAAAAGCTAAAAAATCTCAATATCTAGTTTCAAAACCGGCTTCAAAACCTGTACAGCTTTTCAGGATTGTTCAGTAGTTGCAAAGAAATTTGTTTAAATAGTGCTTTTGTTGGTTAATTTGTGTGTAGCCAAGAATTTTCCTGCAGGAATTCGATCGGTTGCTTGAGGAAGCGGAAAGGAAATATGCCACCTATCGTAACCGCTTGTCGCAACCGAATCTGTACAGTCGACAACGACATTTCTCGACGTCATATCTCGAGACAGATATCGATACAGGAAGACCGGATATGGCGACCGATGTCCGACAGGTCCGTCCCTTCCCCTCACAATCACTCCTGTCAATCAACGGCTTCTATTCAATGCTATCTAATGCTAATATGTTGATGAATAGATCATCGATATTATCGATACAAGCATGTCCATGTTTAACCGTTTAGATCTGTTTCTAGAATAACTATCAATCTGAAAACTGTTTCATTGGAAAGTCAAGAATGGCAGCTTTTGATTGCTATTTTATACAATAACGACTTTTAATGGGTAACAACCTCATAAACCTTATCGATACTTATCAAGATCGAAATTGTCGATTATCGATAAGTATTGATAAGCTTTTTAAGGCAATTATCTATGAGGATTTGCTATGTTTGAGATAGCAATCAAAAGCGGACATTCTTGGCTTTCCAATGAAACAATTTCTAGATTGATAGCTTTTCTAGAAACCGAGATCTGAACGGTTAAACATGAGCTTGCCGTTTGTATTAATAATATCGATAAGCAAGTCTACTGATGAATCGTGTTCTTAGTTGGGCATGAGAATAGTACTGTCTGGAGTTTTGAATGGCTTAGAAATAGCTATAGAAACTCTAGTCTATGTGATAATTGTAAGAATAGTGATAGTCATAGCTCAGAACTCAACAATCCTATACAACCAAAATACAGCACCCATCCAGACTACAGAAATACTTACAGTAATACCCAAAATCAATATATTTTAAAACATTTGACAATGTCAATAGCATGTTACTAAAGTTTTTCGTGAGTTAGCTGTACTTTTGTCTCATGCCCAAGTGTCTACACAATTCCTCAGCTTTCATTCACCCTTTTTGCTTGTTAACTAAATAACTGAACTTACAAATATTGAAAAGAAACCCTTTGTTAGCGCTTTAACAATCAAAAATTGCATGTAATGATTCGCAAAGAAAGAAAAGAAATCTAACTGCGGGCAAAGTGTCGGTGAAGAAATTTGGATGATTTTTCTCCTATCATTAATCAAAACTAATAGATTTATGGGGAAAATTATTCAAAAATTTGTGTCTAATAAAAGATTTAGATGGAGGAAACGAATTTGGATGATGTTCATCGACGGTCAGGATCCGTTGTTGATTACACAAGAGTGAGCAGAAGGGATTTGGCGGAAAGGAATGAGGAAAGCTCACACACGAGAAGCAAGAGTGCTGATTATTTGCTCGATAGATTGTGAGTTGATTAGCTGGATGCACTTTGTGCTCAAAGACATAAAGAAATCCTTTCTGGTGCACTTGATTCTTCAATTTTTACACAGCAACAATTGTTGGCTCACTTTGAGTGTGAGAGAAAGAGTGAGACTCAATTTTACCAGAAATTTCCTTCCTTTTTGGAATAAAAGCTATAGTTGAGTAGTTGTTTGCTCTTGAATTATAAAAGGAAATGGTGTCTTTGTCTGAGAATCTTTAAGAATTAGATATCGAATTACTTGTGGAGGATTTTAGGCAACGTGAGGAGACCCTAGCTCCAGAAAACGAATTACAAAAGATGGCTCCATCTCCATCACATCGAGTAAGCGAACACGAGATGCGATTCCGCAAGAGTACCGAACGATTGCCGATTCCGGATTGGTGAGTTTACTCAAATTTTATTATAAAGCTAAGTTTTATAAATTTTGATTTAGGCAACTTCTCATTAGAGCCCCATTTTTTTATTAAATAACATTCATTTTACTAAAAAGAATTGTTAAAAGATTTACAGATTTTCAAGAAAAACTTAAGAACATTTTATTAGGTTCCTCTTTTTATTTAGTCAACCCCAACGACGAGAATTATGTCGTGAATTGAAAGTCTGGTTTTATGAGTCTCGGTGAGTGTCTCAAAAAGAGAATTTCCTTCTGTCCGAAAGGGAACACTTTCAGCTTATCACTAAAGACACACAAATTTCTCTCTCGGCCTAGCATTTCCTATTTGCTTCCGAATGAAACGAAAACTTTATTGTTTTTAGCTTAATTTGCTTTCTATTTATTGGGTTTGATTTAGATGAAGAGACAAGTTAAGAGGTAACTAAAAGCTAAACAAAAGTTAAATGTAATTTTTAACTGAACTGAATAGATCCTAGATAATAAGATCAATGTTAATTTTAGCCTATATCTATCAGTAAAAGAGACATGGCATCTTGAAGTGCTTAAACTAGACATTCATTCACAAAAGAGTCAATTTTGAATTCTAAAGTTTACCTATGGCTTACCCAAGCCCAATTTTGAATTCTAAAGTCTACCTAAGGCTTACCTAAGGCCAATTTTGAATTCTAAAGTCTACCTAAGGCTTACCTAAGGCCAATTTTGAATTCTAAAGTTTACCTAAACCTTACCATCAAAGATTTATATAGTTATTTAATATAGATTTAAAATAAATCTGCATAGATGAATGATTCCATTTGCAGGTACCGTGAGAACCGTCCAACGGTGCGTCCAACCGACGTCGACATGAGTCTTCCCCGACCCACATCCACTTACGACTATCGGGCCACTCAATCAGCCACCACCACTCCAATGGACAGTTTCATGCCGAGAGGAATGTTTGATCGATATCGTGATGAGATTGAGGATATGAGACGATCGAGAACATCACTTCATCAAATTGAACCCCCTCGACAGGTAGTCGCTCTATAAAGAGCTCAACAGAAAGATCAACTCCAGATAAGCTTGTGCCAAACGCATGTGTTCTCCTCTGTCGCTTAATATCTTTTATTTTCCCTGGGTTGACTGTTTGGCTACCTAATTTTTAGATAAAAGATTTAAAGAAGTGCTTCATTTTCAGTCAAGAACTTGGGTGAATTTGGTACTTTGTGTTAACGTAAACACACTTATCTGGTGCACTTGATTCTTTCTTTTTCTACAACAGAAAGTCATTAAAAAGCAAGATTGATTAGTGCACCAGAGAGGGTGTGTTTCTATTTCGAGAACAAAGTAGACCTCAAAAAAAAAACAGTGAACCCAGCTAACTTCTTTAACTTTCCGAATCTATGGTGCCTTTTTTTTTATGTTTTCTCTCTTTTTTGGTGGTCAATCTCTATCCCGCATGTTTAAAAAAGCACTTCTAAACTATTTTTATATCTAAAGTGGATTCAGCTTTTGGGTTACGGTAGTTATGAGGCACTTACACTACTGGACAATGAAATATGATATTTGAAAAAAGATCGTTCGTCACTTTCGCGCGTCTGTAACTCCCTTGTCTTTACCGTATTTCTAAATATTAATATTACCATTGTGTAGCCCTTGAAAAGAGCTTTCAGAAAATGTATAACACTAATAGTTTAAACTCAAAGACAATGGAGTTACAGACGGGCAAAAGTGACGATCGTTTTTCAAATATCATATTTCATTCTCCAGTACTGTATAGTTACGTCCGAATCTGAGGAGACGTCCACCTCCGATCCGGACGTCCGAATCTGAGGAGATTCATTCTTCTCGGAATCGGACGTCCTGAATCGGACGTCCTGAATCGGACGTCCTGAATCGGACGTCCTGAATCGGACGTCCTGAATCGGACGTCCTGAATCGGACGTCCTGAATCGGACGTCCTGAATCGGACGTCCTGAATCGGACGTCCTGAATCGGACGTCCTGAATCGGACGTCCTGAATCGGACGTCCTGAATCGGACGTCCTGAATCGGACGTCCTGAATCGGACGTCCTGAATCGGACGTCCTGAATCGGACGTCCTGAATCGGACGTCCTGAATCGGACGTCCTGAATCGGACGTCCTGAATCGGACTGTATATGCAAATTTGCATAACCGTAGCTTCAAATTCTCCCAATTTGAATCCGCTTTTCTAAGCTTCATTTTTAACTTTCCTTCCGCTAAACCTTCTCTAGAATTTCACTGAAAAAAGCTGTGCAAAAAAAATCGTGATCAAAGCGTTTTCCTTCGTAAATTTGTACCCTTTATGCTTTGCCAAAAAAAAAATAAAAAATGTAAACTTTTAAAAAGCTTTGCAAAAGAAAAGAAATTTTCTACGTTTTGCTTTCTTTCTATTGCTTTTGTCCGAATTCTTTTTTTTCAAATAAATTTTTATCGTCAAAACTTTGTGGTTGATTCTCGTCGTTTTTGTCAAGCACTCTACCCTTAAAGCAAAAAGAGGATTACTGCATTTTGTGGGTTTACCTTTTTTTAAGTCGAAAGCTAGAAAGCTAAAATCTTTTGAAAGTATCGTAAACCAAATCGAAATGCAGTAATCCAGCGAACTAGCAGCCGCCGCACAGAGCTCTCATTTTTCTTTCTGGGTTATAACATGGACAAGACTAAACAACAATAAACCAACAGTAAACCAGCAAATAATACAGTAAAAGAGTGGCTCATTGATGGTGATCATTGATGAATTTCGAAAGATTTTCTTTTCGAAAGATTAAACACTGAATTTCTAGTAACAAATAATCGATTATAAAGAATGGAAATTGAATTTAAAGACTTATCATCAATGAGCCATGAAAGCAACAACCATTTTTTCATTGGATGAAGGGCCACTCTTGAGTTATTTCAGGATTATCGCTCGGCTCCTATGCCTGCACCCCGGAGAACTGTTTCCCATGAGGTGTGGTTGTTGGTCAAAAAAAAAACCTTATTCATATCTTTCCCCTTTCCCCGTTTCACGACAAAACATTGGCACAATAACTTTCAGAATTAAGTTTCAATTATACTTTTCAACCTTCAAATGATAGTTTTATGATTAAAGATGCTCTTTCAATCGTTCATGAGCATCACAGAATCAAGTTTAGATTCAAAAGGGAATGTTAACTGGATGGGAGTGATCAAATGAGACGAGCCATATACTATTTGATGCAGAATTTTACGCTGATTCCGAATCTACTTTCGGTTTTTACTATGTAGCACTCTGTCAAAAGTTATCAGCTCAAAATGTTTTGTCGGATTTTTAAAAATCAGAGCTTATAAGAAGATTTTTCAGAGACTTTAAATTGAATGTCATCAATGATGTTTTCGATTTGAATCATTGTTGTTTAATGTTAATAGTTAAAAGTAAAACATTTGAGTAAAGAAGTAGTTGAAAAAGACTTGTATGGAGATTAATTACCTCTAAAAAAGTAGAAAAAAAGTTAAACCGCAAACCCGAACCCGAGGGGTTTCGCCCCGTATTCTAGCCGACTACCACTTGGTCACGATCGCTTGTTGAAGCTTATAAACTGCTTATAAATCTGCTTATAAACAGTTTATAAGTAGGAAATCTGCTGATAAACTCGAGAGATGATTTTGAAAATCCCACAAAACATTTTGAGTTGATAACTTTTGACAGAGTGCTGCAAACGGAAAGTAGATTCGAAATTAGAGTAAAATTCTGCATCAAATAGTATATGACTCGTCTCATTTGATCACTCCCATCCAGTTAACATTCCCTTATCGGCTTGCATTGATTGAATATCTTTTGATTAGATAACTAGGGTTTAAAATGCTAAAGGTTAAGGGATATTATAATACTTTAAAATTAACAAAAAGACTATAGATTATCAAAAAGATCATTTATAACTTTAAAATTTAGTCGAATTTTGTGAATCATAAACAAACTGGTTGAAATGTGTTGAATTTCACCAAAATGAATGCTTCTGTAGGTGATTGCCGCTTCTCGAGCCGACAGTCGTCAAAGTGTTGAAGGTTTCCGCAATTTGCCTGGATATACCGTTTCGGAGGTTTTGCAAAGTTCCTAACAAAATTTCAAGAAACAATTAGGTGCCCGACTCTTGGAATCTCGGAAGAAATCGAACCTCGAGAGTTGTCGAAGTGGCTGACACTTTTGCTGGAGCGAAGAGGATTGTGGATAAATATGGTTCGTGAAAGCTCTGCTAAATATGGAGCTCTAAATATGGAGCTCTTATAGACAAAATCATTTTAGGACAAGTCCAAGTTCGCTATGGTGGCCGGGTGACAATTGAAGAAGTTCTTGACTCAATATTCCAACAAACTGCACCCAGAGATGCTTCCTATGTAGCTGATGGGTGAGCTTATCTTTGTACTTTGGACACTTGAAAATACCATTCAGAATCCCGCAAGGAGAGTACACAGCAAACCATGATGGTCCATCAATCTACACAAAGAACTATATGTTGATGGATCAAGTTGTGCAACAGCCGGATAGAGCTGAATCTTTGTTGCAAGTAAGTCAGTTAAAAAAATGCTCATTTAACAATTTTCCTAGAACGAAAAGCTTTTCGTTCGATGTGCTCATTGTCATAAAACTCGCGAGCTCGGATTGGCAAGACTTCATTATGTTTCTTGTAAACATTGTTACTCGTACTATTGTAGCAGAAATTGTCGAGTTAGAGATTGGCCGGTGAGTGATTTTACGACTTATTTGAAAACTATTTGCTTCAAATTCCTTTAGAAACATCAAGGCCGTTGCTCGTATGCAAGAATTAACACTTTATGCAAAGATGTTATCATGAAAGTGAGTGAAAGACTTAATTTACTAAAGTGATCAAGTCATTAAGTAATTCTTAAACTCATGCTCACTTTTCTAGGTTCGAGAAGATCCCCAAGCTCAATTGTACATGAGTAAAATTGCGAGAGAGGGATATGCAGCTAGAGGAAGAGGTGATTCAAAGTTTATATAGACCAAATCAATTTCAAATTTAATAAAAGTGTTTCTCGTTTTAGGTTCGGTGAATATTCGCCTCTCAAGTCCAACGCAAGCGCACGCTTACACGACAAATGGCTGGGAAGCTCTTCAAGGAGTCCCCATGCAGAATCTCCTCTTCTACTACACTATTGCCGCATTGATCTCTGATCGAAAAGAGCCATCACTTGTTGCACTTTGTAGGCAATATGATCCAAAGTGAGTTTATGGAAAGTCCTTCTAACTTATTGCTGCATAATGTTACTTCAATTTAAACAAAGAGTTGAACAGTTTTGGGTTGAAGCTGGTCATGGTAGGCGTCGGGATTCGAATCCGCGACCTCTATTGCTTAGCGGTTGAACACTTTAACAATTATTGACACTAAAGCCTGGCTAAAGGCCTTTTGATCAAAGGTTTTTGCAAACTCAGTAAAAAGATTGATGCTGTTTTGTTTTAAGTTCTAAAAGTTCTTCTAAAAGCCTCAACTTCTCCTACCTTTCCATCTTTCTTATCAACAATGACTTCTTTGACGACATTCTGCTTCAAAGTGACACTCAAAGTGGCATTTCATCCTTGTTCTCATCATTGATCTTTTTCTTTTCTTCTCTTTGATCTTTTACATTTCCTTTCTTAGCCGATACTCCTTTTTCCTCTTTCTCATGCTCTGGAGCCTTACGCTTCGATGTCTGGAACAGTTTTTCTCAAGCTTGAAATTGTAGGTATTAGTTTTTCAACAAAGAGTTGGAGCTTCTTCAACAAAGAGTTGGAGACGCCGATTCTTTTATGGGTTGGAGCTGGTCATGGCAGCGTCGGGATTCGAACCCGCGACCTCTATTGCTTAGCGGTTGAAAACTTTAACAATTATTGAGACTAAAGCCTGGCTAAAGGCTTTTCGATGAAAGGTTTTTGCAAATTCAGTAAAAAGATTGAATCATTTTGAAAAGCTAAACTATTTTCAGCGAGAAATTTATTCTCTCCGTGTCGATCATCGCTGACATTGAGCACTGTCCACAAACACCACCACCAGAAACCATCGATTATCCTCAAGAGAATATCAGTACTGATGCTTATAGGTTCGTGAATTTGGCTTTACTTTAATGTCTTAAAGTGTTATTTAATGGATTTTGAAGTATCACAGCTTACCAAAGATTTCTATTGAAAGAATTTCAGCTATTCTCGACCAAAATCCGATCACCAAGTGCACTTCAGTCCAAATATTGGCAATGGTTAGTCGAAAAGTTTTAAAAATCGTAACCTTAATAAACTTTTCTTCTTAATTAGTAATCTAAAAGATCGATTTTTTAAAGTGAAAGCTTTTCAGGAGCTCAGCCGTACACCGCTCTAGTTCCAACTGATGTTTAAAAGTAAATGTTTGCGTTCAAATTTAGTTAAAACCTAATTTTCTGGTATTATTTTTTCATGTGTTAGTTTTTCTTTTGATATTCAAACTTTTGAGACTGATTTTTAGCTTTGTAGCAGCTTTCTTTCTTTCTTTTTTCTCTTGTACAAAAAGACTGCCATTTTTTTGAAAAGTAAAATCGTTTTGAATATGTTTTTCTTAATTTCAAACAAACGCTGCCATATCCCTAAAGCTTTTCTAAAGAAATCTTCTATTTTTCTTCTTTCATTGAATATCTTTTAAATCTTTAACCTGTGATAAATGAATGAATCTATCTTCTTTTGTTAGTTCAATTTATTCCCCGCAAAGCTTTACCCCCTTTTTCTACAAATCTTCGTCTTATACAAAGAATAAATTGATGTAATATTGATTAAAACATGCAACTTTTTACAGATATAGACTTGTTAATGTACTTTTTCGCACATCCTTTATATCAAAATGGTAAATGGCAGGATCGTCACTTGGCAGGATCGTCACTGGCAGGATCGTCACTGGCAGGATCAACCAGATATGAAAACAAGTTGCGATCTCTCAAAGAGAAAACGTCGAAAATGCTTTCCGCTTTTGGCACCACGATACAGATAGTCACCAAACACGTTGCAAGCAACCAACACCCTAGAACCTGAGTGAACAGGCTGAGAGTAGTCACTACGTCGCTGAAGCCTTTTAACAGCTAAAGCAGTAGCTGACATTCCTGTGCTACGCGTTCCCGCATCTCATAATTAAAGCAACCAACCATCCCTCTCCACAACTTTGGGAACAGCGCATTGACTTGGAAATTTTTTTCAAACTTTTGAGACTGATTTTTAGCTTTGTAGCAGCTTTCTTTCTTTCTTTTTTCACTTGTACAAAAAGACTGCCATTTTTTGAAAAGTAAAATCGTTTTGAATATGTTTTTCTTAATTTCAAACAAACGCTGCCATATCCCTAAAGCTTTTCTAAAGAAATCTTCTATTTTTCTTCTTTCATTGAATATCTTTTAAATCTTTAACCTGTGATAAATGAATGAATCTATCTTCTTTTCTTATTTAAATTTATTCCCCGCAAAGCTTTACCCCTTTTTCTACAAATCTTTGTCTTATACAAAGAATAAATTGATGTAATATTGATTAAAAGATAGTCAACTTTTAACTTATGAGTGTGCTTTTTGAGAGAAACAAAAATGGAAACACAGCTTTTTGACGCACTATAGACATGTAAATGGGCGTTAGTAGCAGGTTTGTAAGCAAAAAAATTGAATATCTTTTGATTGTCAAAGCAAAACCGAACAAATTGGGCAACAGTTTTTCTCAAGCTTGAAATTGTAGGTATTAGATTTCAACAAGCTTCTTCAACAAAGATTTGGAGACGCCGGTTCTTTTATGGGTTGAAGCTGGTCATGGCACTGCAATGGAAAAAGTGAAAAACAATAGCTGCCCAATCTGCTGACTTTTTCTTTAAAAATAAAAAGATATTCAATTCCTGTGATAAGTTTGGTTAGAAGGATGCTTGTTTATTGTAATTTTGAAAAGTTTATAGCAATGGCAGGAAATTCTAGATAAAGAAGATAGAGAATTAAAATCCGAAACTTTGAAAACGATTAAAGTTTTGTGCTCCGAACAGGGTACCCGTTTGGAGAAATGGCTGTAGTTTTGGATTGATGAGAGAGACGGAACGGAAAACAGAAGATAGAATTAGTAAAAGTGAAATAAAACTAGATGAAAGTTCAAATTTAAACGATTCATAGATGCAAAACTAAAAGATAGGAATTTGCCAAAAAATATTAAAGTAAAACAAAAGAAGAAGATCACAAAAAAATGTAACAATTAGATCTCATAGAGATCAAAGCTAATGAGAAAATTGTTCATGGACTTTGTGAGACAGAAACTTGTTGAAATCGATCGGATAGCTCGGAAGAATCTGATGTGGTTGATGTTGAAGTGGTCAACGATGATGGACAGCTATCCATTGGGGCATTTTCAACATCACCGCCCAACATCGCCTTAAAATTGTTTCTTTTAAAAGCTTTTCCTTGTCAATGCTTTTCTATTTTAAAGAAAATCTTTGTTTAAATCCGCTAATTTTTCTGCTTAAACTATCCAATTTTAGATCGATTGGGTTGGTGTACAGTAAGACTACAGTTAGATACAAAAAGATTAAATATAGGGCAGATTTGACATGGCAATAAGATCTGATTCGTTTACAAATATTGAATTGGTGAATTGAAAACTGCGGGCTATTGTTACATCTGACAGTTTGAGCACTTTCTTCAAAAGAAACCCATTTTGGTGTCAATGGAAAAGTTGTAGAGAATCAAAAATCAAGCTTATAGCCAAATTATCTTTGTGTATTATCGGTTTTCTTATTTCAGGAGAACTGATTGGAGGAATTGGAAGGAAAACAGTTAAGCATTGTTAAGTATTGGGTTGGTGAATTGAAAACTGCCGGCTATTGTCATATGTGACAGTTTGAGCACTTTCTTCAAAAGAAACCCATTTTGGTGTCAATGGAAAAGTTGTAGAGAATCAAAAATCAAGCTTATATCCAAATTTTCAGAACGATTCAAAAACTGGTTTTCAAGAAATGCGAAATTTACGAATTTTCACAAATCTTGCATTTTAAGCGAAACTACTAAGTGTATCTTTTTGGAAATTTGGCTATAAGCCTAATTTTTAATTCTCTACAACTTTTCTATTGACACCAAAATGGGTTTCTTTTGAAGAAAGTGCTCAAACTGGGACATTGGGACCTCTCCAGTCCTCGAGTCCGCAGCTTTCAATTCACCAACCCAATATAATAAAATGCGCCCTGATGTTGCAAAACTGACTCGCTCTAAAATAAACAGCCTTGTTTGGGAACTTTTAGCGCATTCCCCATACAGTCCGGACCCTACTGATTACTATTTATTCTGGATCATGAGTAATGAGCTTGCGGGAGAACACTTCGATTCAGAAGAAGCAGTCAAAAATTGGCTTTGAAAGTTTTTCGATTGAAAACCAAAATCCTACTACGAAAGAGGAATCCGCAAATTGTCTGTTAAATGGGAAGAAGTCGTCAATAATATTGGAAATTATTTGGAATCAATTAATGGTTTTATGTTGAATAAATTTTAGTTCAAAGTCCGCAGTTTTCAATTCACCAACCCAATATTAATGGTATCTTTTTTCCAATGAATTGCAAACTGTTTCACTGAAATTTTTGTGTTTTTTGAATCTTTTTCTTAGGCTTTATTACTGAATTAGTCTATATTATAGTGAAAATAGTTTATTTCCCTCACCTTCAACCCTTGAATCTCTCCCTTAACCACAAGAAGTTGCGGTAAATTCCGGAAATCCTCGAGCACTTCATAGTTTCGACATTTGTGAACAATTACCTATATATTATTATTTAAACCCTTTCCATTCAAAAGCTCAGTGTTTCTTTTGTTAAACCTTTTTTAAATTTTTATGAGCAGCCAATTCAACAACGGTTCCACGATTGATTTTCTCCAAATCAAGCTCTCGCATGTAGATGAACTAAAGCCAAGGGTTTTTAAGATAAAGATAAGATAAAGATAAGATAAAGATAAGATAAAGATAAGATAAAGATAAGATAAGGATAAGATAAAGATACCGTAAATACTGTAATAGTACCCCCGCCCTCGTACAGTCGCGTAGTCGCAAAAGTTTTTTAGTATTTCATTTTTTTCAAAGCGCCCGTACTTTCAAAAAATGCGTCTTTGGTATCAAAAAATAGCCCTGAAATTCAGGGCTATTTTTTGATACTAAAGCGAGCATTGTAGCATAAACCAGTGTCGAGAAAAACGCGTCCAAAGCTAGACTACGCAACGCTCCGCACCGTCATTATGGGGGTGGGGTACTATTACAGTATTTACGGTAAGATAATTTAAGATTTTAGATACCTGTAATCTTGGCATTGATCGAGCCATATAGGCAAAAAGTGAATCGGGAAGAAAAGCATAGTCAACTGGACTGTCCACCAAGCAAACCCGCTCCACTCGAGCCTCGAATTTGTGTAGAATTGCCATAAATGAAGCCTGAAAATTCAACTTCCTCATATCCCTTTTGTTTTACTTTAAACGTTTTAAACGTTAATTTGCTTTTTTGAACTTCAAATCCCTCACATTCGTTGGTCAGTCTATTCGCAACCAATCAAAGTGAGCACTTGTTGTTGTCTGTTGTCTATCATTCACATTTCTCTCTCTTTCAGAGATCAAACTCAAGTTTTCCTTGACTCTGTCACTCAAATCCGCATCAATCATTCACATTTTTTATGTTCAACTTTGCCAAAAAGTTAGAGACACTACAAAACTTTGTCTCTTTTTCAATTTCTTTTTATTCTTCTTTCTATCGCATCGCTTTTCAATTGCCGTTGCCAAAAAGTCGAAGATTTGTTGGTTGTTTGCTAAAATTCCATACAGATCTGATACTCAGCTTTTGACAAATGGGACAGACTTGCCAAAGTCATCGATTTTCGATTGATTTTTTCGATTTTTCGTCGATTTGGTCGATTTTTGACTAACGCTTAACGATGTTTTTGACAAAAATACTCGACTAGCACTCAGTTAAAACTGATTTTTATAAGATACAGTAAATGCTGTATTAGAATGGCATGTTATTCGATTTTTCAATATCCCCTAGACTGTCATTCTATTAGAGCATGTCACTCTATTAGAGGGTGCCATTCAATCTTTCAATACTCCCTCCGGGTGTCATTCTATTTGAGGGTATCTTTCTAATACAGCATTTACGGTAAATCAAGTTCGTTAATGAGAACTAAAGACTGAAAAAACGTGGCTCAATCTTGGAATAGTATTCTCAAAAATATCTCATGTATTTTCAGTGTTATTCGAGAATTGAAAGTTTAATTTGAAATTTGTACAAACATATTAGCTTAAACGCTTTTTGAATCCTATCAAATTGTTCAAATTTTAAGAAAAAATTAGGCAAAAATCGATTTTTAACACATTCTCTCTAATTTGTCAAAAAATGGATCAAATCGAGATGAAATTTTAGCATATAATCAACAAATCTTCAATTGTTATTAGAAAAAGTTTGAGAAAAAGTTATGGTTTAGTTTTAAAACCCCAGTCAAAGATGCAACAAAGCCATATTTCCCAGCCAATGACTGAGAACTAAACTCGCGTTGTTATTGAGCTAGTGAATCATCCAATGGACTTATTGAATGATTCACTAGCTCAATAACAATGCTTTTGTTTGTTTTTGCCTCTATTTACCTCATGTATCTCAAAATGACAGCTGCAACAGTAAAGATAAGCGACTTGACGATTCCAAAAGACTGGACCATCAAATGAGATATTTACCGTCATCTAAAATGAACAAGGCAATCATATCTTTAGAAAGTTTTATTCTTTTCTTTATTCTAAACATCTAAACAAACTTTTTCATGTCCAGAGCAATGATTTTTTCTGAAGATCACATAAACCCACATGGGTTTGTCATCGTGTAACGAAGCCTCCATCAGAATATCCTTCCAATTCGCGTCGGTTGTTTCGAATCTAGAAAACATAAAATTCTAGCTGTTTTGCGATAGTTTTCATTTCGATATATGATATTTGTCATTGCATACCATACAAACAAATCAAACAAATCAAACAAGTCAAATAAGTGTAGTTCAAGGGTTAAAGATGTTCAAGAAATACTTCTAGACTAAATTACAATAGACATAGCTAAACTTGGACTACGTAAAACAATAGTATGATGCTATTTTAGCTACTCAAAAAGCCTTGTGGCCTTGTTATCCCCTATAACATTGTTAAAAAGCCTTGTTATCCCCTATAGCATTGTTAAAAAGCCTTGTTATCCCCTATAACATTGTTAAAAAGCCTTGTTATCCCCTATAACATTGTTAAAAAGCCTTGTTATCCCCTATAACATTGTTAAAAAGCCTTGTTATCCCCTATAACATTGTTAAAAAGCCTTGTTATCCCTATAACATTGTTAAAAAGCCTTGTTATCCCCTATAACTGACAAAGTACCCAAAATATAATCTAAAATAACTTTGACACAAGTTAACAATGAAATGAAATGGATTTTGAATAAACTAGCAGCTTTGTCTGAAATTTTTTGATCATCTAAAAATGATATCCATCTCAATTTTTTCCAAATAACAAATGAGGCAAATCTTTGAGGAAATTCGAGCCAAAATCTCTGGATTCAGCGGCTTTGTCGACTCAAATTATTGGTGGGGAAAAAAGAGTTGAAAAACGATACGATAGAAATAATAATAAGGGGAAAATATCGAAAAAGAGACAAAGTTTGCCTCTGGGAATGTTTCTTGTTCTGAAAGCAGTGTTTTTTTTTTCTTCAGACTTCTCCATGTGCTCGGGATCAACGAGGAATTAGCGCATTTTTTTTTCTGTTTTCCCCGTTCTTTCAAATTATTTTTGCTCCCAGCAAGCCGAGGACTAGAAAAATTATATCTAATAACGCTATTTTTCAATTCAGAAAATAGCTTTCTAGAAAAACTTGATTGCAAAGTTAAATAATAATTTAATTCAAGGAAACTTGGAAGATCTTAATATTGGGTTGGTGAATTGCAAAAATGCCGCCTTAAATTGCCATTATTATCGGTTTTCTTATTTCAGGAGAACTGATTGGAGGAATTGGAAGCAAAAACAGTTAAGCATTGTTAAGTATTGGGTTGGTGAATTGAAAACTGCCGGCTATTGTCATATGTGACAGTTTGAGCACTTTCTTCAAAAGAAACCCATTTTGGTGTCAATGGAAAAGTTGTAGAGAATCAAAAATCAAGCTTATAGCCAAATTTCCAAAAAGATACACTTAGTAGTTCCGCTTAAAATTTGTGTCTTCTGTGTATTCTTTGTGCGGCCGCGTAATCGCTCGTCGTCCGGCGCAGGGCTTTTACATAAGTCCCTTCCCTCTCCCTTTGTCAAACGAATCTGGCCGGGTCCGAATCTTCAAGTTGGACATTGACTTCTCCGCAAATCAAGGCTAATTTCAATCTATTGGGTTGGTGAATTGAAAACTGCCGGCTATTGTCATATGTGACAGTTTGAGCACTTTCAAAAATTATATCTAATAACGCTATTTTTCAATTCAAAAATATCGCTTTCTAGAGAAACTTTTGATTGTAAAGTTTAAGGGAAATTAAGCAATAAATCATTTCAATCAACGACAAACGGACAACTGAATATCGTCTAGTGGCTGATTACGGGAGTTTATCCATTAATTTTAACTTGTGCATTGAGTTTTGACTAATTGCAGAGCAGTGGCAATTCGCCACAAAGCTGAAGTAGCTGAAGTAGCTAATCTGAAGCTTTTCCTGAAGTTTAAGCATTGAAGTAATGCTTACACTTCAGGAAAAGCTTCAGATTTGCCATTTTCAACAAATTATATCTAATAAGGCTATTTTTCAATTCAAAAATATAGCTTTTGTAGAAAAACTTTTGATTTTAAAGTTAACTAAAAATTTAATTCAAGGAAAGTTGCAAGATTTTAATAGAAAAAAGTGTTTTAAAGCTGAAAAAAAGAGTTTTAAAGCTTTAAAAAGCTTTAATTAAAAATGATAGTAATTAAAAGTTAACAATAAAATCGAAAAACTCTCAGAATTCTTACAAAATGATGTCACATTTGTAAAGAAAAATAGAAACCCGAGTTTTCAAGATTAAATTGGAAAGGAAAGAGTGAGGATAAGTTTTCAAAAGTTCTATCAAGAATGCTTTGAAGTTTGGAGGGATCACATAAAAAAAGCACAAGATTGACCAAGAGAGAAGAAATTTGAGAGAAACAAGCAAAAGAGACGAGGAAATGACTGAAAGAAAAGGGTTTACGATTGAAGAAACATGAGATAACAGTTGTTCTCTTAAATCTATCAAATATCTACTTCTAGATCAAAGACTGGATTCAAAAATTTCAAACTAGCTTTCGTAATTGTTCAAATAAATAAAAGTATCTAGGTTGGTTATGATTTGAGTTCTTTACTTACCCTGGGAAATGAAATTTAACTCAAAGTAGATTTAGTAAAAGGTTTTAGTTTAGTTTTTAGCTTAGTTTCTGTCTAAACTTTTCTAGAGAATGCAATCAAAGCAGAGAATCGAGAGTCATCTAATCGTTAGCCTCTCATTGCCGATTTCTCCTATTCTTTCCTACCCATCTCTTTCTTTTTTTCCCCCAAATCCATCCATGTTTCACAATAAATTATGCATTAGACTCAAGCCAAATTAAGCTTTTCTCCCCTTCTTTTTTTGTGATTTCGATTTGAAATAAAGTAGATAGCTTTTAGTGGAAATTGAAACGAAATGAACTAAAAGATGAAATGATTAGGTTAAGCAGCAAAATAAAATACCTATCGTAAATACTGTAATAGTACCCCACCCCCATAATGACGGTGCGAAGTGTTGCGTAGTCTAGCTTTGAACGAGTTTTTCTCGACACTGGTTTATGCTACAATGCTCGTTTAGATATCAAAAAATAGCCCTGAATTTCAGCTTTCATTTGATACTTAAGCGCACACTGTAGCATAAACAGGTGGCAAGAAAAATGCGTTTAAAGTTAGACTACGCGACGCTTCGACCGTTGGACCGGGACGCGCTACTATTACTACTATTACTACTATAAGGAATTGATGGTGATTGGTGGTGAATGATGAAAAGAATTGTTTGCAATAAAGAACTGAATGTTTTGGTTTGTTTAGTCAATGTCTGTCGACAACATTCCTTTCTAATCAAACCACAGAACAAGTCGAAAAAACTGGGAAATGGAAATCCTGGGCAATTCATTTCAGAAAGAAAGAGAAATCGAGTCCTTTTCTATCTTCTCTCTATTCTATTCTCTATTCTCAACCCCTCCTTTTTATTCGAAACGTTTTTGAGAGGTGTTCCTTTCCTTTCTCTTTTCCCATTTCTCTATAATCCCCTTTCACTTCCTCAGAATAAATCAAAATCAGTATCGGGAAATGAGATAGAAACATTCTTTTAAAGAAAATTAAGCAATAAATCATCTCAATCAGCTACTTTAATACTTACAATTCAGGAAAAGCGTCAGATTTGTCATTTTCAACAACACAAGACAGATTTCTTCGTAAAACTGATGAAACTGAGTTTTTAAAACACTAAATGAAGTACATTGTTCGCCAAAATGTACATTGTTCACTAGTTCTTAAAGATCAGAAATCAAATTGTTAAAATTTCACAAATAAGCTATTTGCTTCTGGTTGAAGTAAAAAATAAAAGTTGAACTCTCAAGGGAACTCGTTAGGCTTTTTCTGGGAAAGCGAACGAACAGAAAGGTGAGTTTTTTTTTTGTTTTTAACGAACTCTGAAAGATTATGAAGCTTTTAGAAGATTGAATTTAAGGATAAAAGAACTTTTTACTATCCAAACTATTTGAAATTTCTTTGCTAAGAGAAGATGGAAGGAGTTTACAGTGATGGGGAGAAGGACTGAACTATTGACAATAAAAAGACTAAAAGAAAGTTTCACAAGACTCTAAACTTAAGTTTAGCTTAGAATCAAGCTCTTTGATGCCAATTTTCAATCAAAACGAAACATTGAACACGAACAAAAGGAGCTAAAAGTTCTCTGTGATTCTTTCAAATGCTATAAAAGCTATGGTCTTTTCTCAAGGGAGCAACGAAGAATAAGCTAAAGTCAAGAAAATTTCAATGAACTTAATATAAACAAATTGCTTGGCAAAGAGAAAGCACTATGTAGGATTAAAATGATTTTTTGAATCTATAAAACGTTGAGTTCACATTCTGGAGCCAATTAGTGAAAATGCTGGTTTCCAGCGGCTTTTTTTTATGAGTTTCACTGGGCCTCACTGGGTTTTATTATTTGAAATAAAGTGTGGAGTCTCTTAAAGTTTGAAGGAAACGAGAAATAGAAGAAAAAAACGAGTTACATTGTGGAAATGTACTTGCTAAAAGTTGGTAAAACTACTGTCAAACAGCTTTTTTGTCCTTTATGTTATGTAAAGGGTAGCTCACAATTATATCGCAATTCAGAGGGCCATCGTAATCAATCTGATTGATTACGATAGTTTTACAGGATAGGTGCTCGATAGGAACGCTTTCTCTTTCAATGTAGTGTTGGTTAACTAAAATTATAGTTTTATCGCTTAAGTATTAGGTTGATGCAAAAGTGTTTTTCATTTTTTTCGTACTTCCGTTAAAAAGTAACAAATGCACCAATTGAACAACGGTTTATTGCATTCGAAAGGCCAATTATTTTTCTGCAAATGACATTAAAACGAGTTTAAAATGTTTTATGTCTAGATTTTTTTGAGAGCCTGAAGTCGGGTAGTCAAAAAAGGCGACGGCTCGATGATGCATTTTAGACGCTTTAGCTAAGGAAACCAATCTTGATGTTAATAAATAAAAGATAGAGCACAAAAAGTTAGATATTTTTTCAGATTTTCAGAGAAATTGATTCAGCCAATTTCTTTATAGAGGTTTTTATAGATTTTCATGAAAAACTCGTTTTCACTCTCGAATTTGCTTGAAAGTGAACCCAAATTGACTTAAAAAGATGGGAAATTGAACAATAAACACTTTTCATTTAGAGTAAACCATAGGTTAATTGATGACTTTGTTATTTTTCAAAAGAAGTACGAAAAAAATGAAAAAGACTTTTGCATCAACCTAATACAAGGTGGCCCACAATTATAACGCCACACTTTAGAAAGTTTGGCCAAAATTGGGTGAATTATTCTGATTTTTCTGGAGATAAATCTTAAATATGTCTCCTGGAGCAGTGCCCATTTAGCATTTAGCATGCCGAGTAGCATGCCGAGCTCTCAGCACTCAGCACTCAGCACTCAACTGGAAGACCATATAAAAAAAGTTGAAAGCTTGTATTGATTAGATGGGCACTGCTCCAGGAGACATATTTAAGATTTATCTCCAGAAAAATCAGAATAATTCACCCAATTTTGGCCAAACTTTCTAAAGTGTGGCGTTATAATTGTAGGCCACCTTGTACTTGTAGAGATAAAACTATAATTTTAGTTAACCAACACTACATTGCAATAGAAAGCGTTCTTATCGAGCACCTATTCTGTGAAATGATCGTAATCAATCAGACAGTTTACCTTCATTTACTTAATTTGATATATTAAGTAATTCCTCGTCGAATGATACTAAAACTGGGCTAATCCAAACAGTCAAAAAAGTCCATTTCTTACAGATAAAATTGTAATTTGTAGCCAAAATTTGCAAGTTTTTTAGTTCTTTTACAACTCACCGATACATTGCGAAGCTTTCCGAAAACTCAAAGCTTTAGAGAATTTTTGAGAATACTGAATTCGGGGTAAATATTTTTCACTCAAAGCCCTCAAACAAAATGAAATTATTGTATCCGATTGATGGAATGAATTGAGAAGAGAATTGAGAAAATTCTCCCTTTCAATCCGGACAATGGATACACAAATTGCTCTCCAGAAGCCTCTCATTTCTCTCTCGCAATCTTCTTCTTCTCAATCCAATAATTAAATCTACCCATGAACTTTTATGTTCATTTTAGGCTCTAAAAACAGATCTTACTTGAATCCTAGTAAATATGGGATGGTGTGAGAGGATGATCAGGACAAAAAGGACAGAATGATCAGGATATTTGCTAGACTCAATAAAATGAACACCTCCAATTGATTCCCTGATCCCGAAAATCCCGGGATACAATTTCATACCTCAATATCTTCTTTTTATATCAAAGAAAAGCCTTATATAAAAGGCATTAATAGGTGTTCTTTGTGTGACCGCTCGTCACCTGGCACACCTGTCCGCTATAGGTGCTTCCCTTCTGGAAAAGGAGAAGGAGCGGTGAACGACTAAGCCAGTTTCGCCGCCTTGGGATCAATTTCTACCCTAATTTTGGCTTTATGTTTTGACAAATTCTGTCCTGTTTTGTTACTCAAACAGTAGCTAAAAAGCTTTAGAATTATCCAAAAGAAATACACAGATTAATAGCATTCACTCTCTACATCATTCTTTTTTAACTATAGCCCAAAGATTGAAACAATCTATCAACTCCAGAAACTCTAGACGCTGCGCAAATGAGGAAGAGACACGAAAGGGAAAAGACTATTGGAAATCCATCAAGCACATACTAAAGAACAACCAAAATTTAGTTACAAATTTGCAAAAGATTTGACTTTTCATCTTAGGACTTCAAATAGTATCAATTTCATTTCTGGAAGTTAAACAAGACAAAGACAACTTGCAAATGGAAGACAACTTAATCGAGAAAGATGAAACTTTTTATCTTAAGTGACTTGTGCTTTG